GTCAATCCTTGTCACATTGTATCTAATCGGAGGTGAATTAAGACATCGTTAAATCTATGAGTTTAAATGATAACGTATGAAAATTTTTATGACTATCAAGGAGATTACTACTTGCTTTACCTAGCATAACTCATGTACCCTGGTAATCATTCACGCATATCTACTTTATGAGGGTCACACTTTGTATTATTTCGTAGTACAGTAACCAAAAAATTGTAGAACATCATAACCCCAATCAATGAAATGAGAAGGATCCATTAACCATCGTATCGTAAAATCTTAAGCCGATCATACATGATAATCCGGTTTATAACCAATCGTTTACGGTAATTACTGATATACGAGGATATGAAGGTTCAGTACCGTATGTAATATTAAGATACTATATAATTGCGTCGTACAGCAACTAGTATAGCGCTTATTTTCGATTGCTAAGGCAGACTACCGGGTTATGACCAAATGCAATATAATTATGTAGTAAATTTACCGTGCAATTAAAATTTTTGTACTTATTTCATTTGTCGCAACTCATTACGATATTCTTTAAGAATAGTATATCTTGGCAAATCTACGTACAGCATGGACACTTTTTTCAATGACTAAGCCTTTTCTGTACTTGTATTCTTTAAATTACTGCCATTTTCTTTCATAACACAATATTAGATTTTTATCAATACTAATTTTCAGTATTAGTGAAACGTCAAGAAAAAATCTTCTATAGTGTTCCTGCTGTTATCTAAGAATACGGTACTGAAAAAGCTCCTAGTAATGCCTATTAGATTAAATTATCAAGTTTAGAACTTTTCTTGGAACTATGGAAGGATACTGTATAAAAAAAGATGATTTTGCATCACTCAATAGGTACTGGCTTGTTCGTGGAGATCTCAATGATTGATTGATTCCCTATTTGCTTAGGCTAATAATTACAACAGTGACGTTTTTGTTCAATTTTCAGCTACTGCATCTGGATACTTTTCAATAACGATGACAAAAAAGCGAACTTTGTCATCCGTGTGAACATTACGTTACGATCATAATTTCAAGAAATACGAAAATTTTAAAGTAATTAATTAATTTGTATATAGAATTTGTACTATTATAATAAACGTACCAGTAATTATCATACCAAACAGATACGTACAGTATTATCAGGGTAAAAAATGTGACTATCTATACCGAAGTCCGTAGTCTATAATTAAATATATAATTAATTGACTCTTACATGATAACATCTGCTGATAGCAAAGTTATAAGTATTTTTTATATGACCATCGCTACATAAATAATTATAATTAATCAGTTAATAATTTGTTTGCTACTCACAAACTATACATCCAGCTGCGAATAACTTGTATAATTATATTGTCATTATTTTAAGTGTTATTATTAGCATGGTAATTATTCGTTCATTGCGTCATAAAGCCTCATGGAAAGGGTTATATATTGTACAATGCTGAATCGCTTACGCATATTACATTTCATCCATCTAAAGAGTCTGTCTGTTTTATCCTAGATAACTGCAGTCATTTTGACAAATAGAATAAGTGTTTACGTAGTCTTATTGTCCACACGTGCCTTGTATAACTATTGCAGACTATACGGTGTAATTACCCGTAATACATATTACCTTATACGCATATTTCGGTATGATTTCAACTACTGTATATCCGGGTCGGTTACCGTATATAATGTAAATAACTTACTAATTTTTTAAACTATATCCCATTCTTTCAGCAAATATTAGCCAAACGTAGATGCACAAGATTTTTAAGTCAATTCGATTAAAATCAAGTGGAAATTGTGAAATTATTACAAGCCACTCAAATTTTACAGTAACACTATAAGACGGATTCGGGCAGAGGCTGATGTTAACATTTACCCTCAATTCTCATTCCTCAGTGCTGTATAATAGCAGCAGTTGCGACAGCTCTGACGTAGCTGTAAATGTGTTGTAGACTTGATTATTCCATACGCAAAGACATTTACGGCTATTTTGCATACTACAGTATATATAATATGAGGTTAGAAGCTATGGCTATGCCAGTTTGTCATAGTTAAGAGATCATAGATGTATCCTTAATGTGCTGTATATAGTTAAAAATATAACAGTAGTACATGATATAACGGGAAATGTGTGCTGCTATGACAAATCCTTCTTTGTATGCTGATTAACAGATAGCCTACAACAATAGTCAACGTTTTATGTCAACGTCTTATCTACGGTAGATCTATAAAATTACTATTTCATACGCATGGTATTTGTATAGCCTTCATATTAATCATCGTAAATAGGTTGAAAGTAATATTATAATCATAATTTAATATATTCCTTCATAGTACTCGTATATTGTAATAATATCATTCACTAATTATGTTATACACGGTATGATACATTGGTTGATAGAGTCAGCTAAGTTTATTTCTATTTATAAAAATCTAAATTATAATTTATTGGGTACGCAGAGTGCTGGTGATGAAGCCTTTGTTGCAACTGTAAGGTTATGATAGCTCGACTATGCTTTAGTCGCTGTTATAAATAACATATTTGCAGCATATGAATTTCTGATTTACCATACTATTTTAGGGCACATTTTAGTTTAGGTTCATATGAGTATTAACAACTCCACTGAGTGAAATTAAAATTCTTATCAGAAATTAGGATAATAGATTGGATAAAAATTTATCGTATTTCGCTTTAGAATCCATGTATTTCATTAATTGTGTTAAATTACAACGATTCTAGTCCATGAAACGTTATTCTTTTCCTCTATTTAGTTACTTATGACTTCCATATTTAGCTGTTTGCGAAGTAGGAACAATGAAAAAGTTTATGTAAGTGAAATTCTGTAAATCTCTTAAGATGGTGTATGTGTATATAACTTTGAAGAGAACTTACCTTTAGCATTTCCATAGATTATATATATCCAAATTTGATACCTAAGATTTTTGATTAATTTTAATTTTTGAATCGCTCTTTACGTATGATGAGCACTGTAGTTAGTAATGTTCCTTAGCACATGGCTAAAATATGATTGTGGACGGTCACTTGTAAAACTGCTAAGATGATCATATAGATATTTAGATAGGTGCATAGGTATTTAAAGAATTACAGTAATTATACGAAATTTGAGATCGCTAATTGAGATTAATCTTTATGAATTAGGAAATCATTAATTGGACATGCAACACGTTATCATTGATAGTTTGCGCTGCAACTATGGCGGCAGGTGTTTATATTACGGTCTTGTATCTAAACAAGTATGATGCGACATCTCATAAGAGCTCTTGTGATGCATTTGTATTTGTACCCTATATTATTATTCAAGTCACAAGCATGTGTTCTGGAATATTTGGTCTTGTCCATTGTTTGACTTTGTGTGGGACTTGTAGCTTCTTCGAAAGTGATTACGAAGATGACAAATTGTAAAGAAACGACGCAATATAAGAATGATGTATGCTTCCTGTATCTGTATGGCACATGGATTAAAATTTTAAGGCCTTGTTTTTGCTTTGGATATACGTAATTGTTATTCTGAAATTATCATAATCTACAATATGGTCATAATATTCTATCTTTGTATCGGTGATATCAATTAACATAAGTTTTGCTATAACCCAAATAAATTGTTCTCATAGGGTGTGGTCGCACTATACCTAAGTAGAAATTAATCATGATGCCCTTCCTTCACGTTTTAGTATTAGGTCGATTGCAGAAAAGTTTTCTATAGCTAGCGTACATTGTAGAAGACTTTTAAGGTAACACTAACCTTGATACAATTACTAACTTTACGAGTAAATTGTGATTCTAAAAGCTATCGCTTTGTAAAGGTTGAAATTAATCACTGTTAATTTTCAAAAAATTGTGAATCCGTGGCGGTTATTTGACGAGACTTTTCAGTCTTCAAGCTAATGGATTTAAAATAATAGCTTAAATGTTAGGCGTCTTGTAGTAATTTAGTACTAAATATATAAGACTTAAATCTGAAACTACTTCGCGTATAAGTTTACATCTATCCAGGCGTTAATCTATAAGGAACGCTAACTTAAATAGTAACAAACTCTGATTTTAGTAGTATTGACATGAACGGGTACTGCCATTGATTCTTGCAGGATGATATTATTCAGCAAATATTCTTTGAGATGACTTATATACTTCATCTGTAGCTTTATTGGTGCTGGATACCTAAAAGTTAATGTTTTCATAACTACTAATTGACAATTTTGTATTCGTTGGCAATGCAGCTTTATCTACAATAAAATTTATAAATTCTTACCGTCTGAGAATACAATGAACTACTAAAGTCACTAAGTGTAAGTATCTACAATTAAACGGATTTTAGTGTCACATCTTGCTTCGAGAGAATTAATCTCTGATCAATATTAGACTACAGTAAATCTGGAGGACATTACACTCTCGTAGTAGTAGCAAAATTATCGGGTACTATATTTTCGTTAGTATAAGGTAAGAGATTAAGTAATTATTGCTACTACAGCATGTTTATAGAAATACTGTACGTGTTATGCTATGATAAGTAATTGTGCAGATCCAGATTATCTTATTTGCTGTAATAGGCTTTGCCACCTTGCATTGAAGAAATTTCTAAAATTTCAAGTATCAGACCCTCCTGAGAACATGCTTATAATCCAGGAATTAAGTGTAAAATTAATTCATAATCAATTTAGAAATGGAAACTAATTTGTCTTGATTTTATTATTAAATGTGGGTTATAAATTAAATGAGCAGAAATATGTACTATATTTAAGAGATGTACAATAGATGCTCTCAAAACTTAATAAAATTGTACCATTGCTATTGTGCGGGCATTGTATTGTACATCTTATATTCAAGGCGCTATCTTTTATATCACGATGCATATAGATTAGTTTTTGTGTCAATTATCCAGTTTCATATATTAATCGCTAATACCATCAATTTAATGATTTTAGATAGTAGCTTCAAGGAACATAAATTCGGATCGTGATGCATGCGTAACCATCAATCATCTTAGTTCTAACGCTTGTAATGCTGGTAGTATGCAGGAAATTCTGTTACACCAAAAGTTGGCACATCCAGAGTGATACTTCCTTCCACCGTAGGTAATAATGTTCTCAGACGTTAGATCTGTCTTATTTACATTAAGCAAGCATACTCCGCAAGCGATATGATTGCAATTTGTAGCTAATTCACCAGCAGTTAAGCATTGGGACTTGAAATTAAAATCGCTAGACAGCTATATAAGAAATATAATATTAACAAGATAATTCAGAAGTTGAAAATCAAGATAGTACGGTACATACCTCTTCAGAATACTTGTCAATATTTTGAACAAGTTGAACCCATTTTAGTTTGATAGTTGAAACTGTATCTTTGACATCAAGCAAATCAATATCTAAATCCAATCGAAACATATCCACTCTGTAATTAATAAAATCATATCTCTGCGTATTGATAGCGTAAAGAATTACCTGAGCGGGAAGCAGCAGCATCAATTCGACAAACAACTTTAAATATCTCTAATAAAGCTATTGATAGAAAGGAGATAATTTAGGATCCTTGTGGAAAAATCAAGTGGTTGGATATGGCTAAGTACCTCTAATGAACAATAATCCTTTATTGCACTGGACGATTTCTTGTAATATTTCATATTTTTTCGTCGACAGCAGGACATCAATTCCATTTTGTACATCTTGTAAAGCTTTTTCAAGGCAGCTATGCCATTTATTGAAAATAGTGTCTGTGGGCTATCAGATACAAGAAAGTTAAATTCTGAGTAGTTCTATATACATATATCATTTAAAAAAACATTAAATCAGAATAGCTAAGAAGTTCACCATACATGTTTACTTTTTACCTCAGCATCTATGGATAACGCTCGATATCGATCAATATCATAGCTAGTTTCAATACAGACATCACTAGTCTTCCCTGCAGCCGTTATTAGGGTTTGACTCTGAAATTTCTGAGTGTCAGCAGTCGATCCGGGCTGCAAGATATCAAGGACACTATCAGAACCAATTTCATTTAAATCTCCGCCAACGTCTGGAAGGTTACTTGTAAACTACATAGAAGTATAAGCAACATCGTAACTTCCGTGTAAATTCATTTATGATTTAAATCCAAAAGGAGTTACATTACGATTGAAATACCGTATAATCGCCAAGGTTATTGGAATCTAAATGTTTGAGGTTGAAAGTATTTTCTTCTTCTAGAGATTGAAAATTACGGACAAAGTTACTACAGTCCATATATTTTAATCTGATCTTGTCCCAAATACTAGCATTGCCAGCACTAATGCTGCTACTATTTATTATTTTACACTCATTACCGAAATGGTTTACATTCTTGAATTTGCCATCCTTCGCAAGATCAACGCTAGTTACGGTAAATGTAGAAAAATCTGACCATTCCTCCGACTGTTTATCTGGTTTCGTAGTTTCTTGATTTTGATTTAAGGAATTTGACACAGAACTTGCCTTAAAATTATCTTTGGCCTTTTCCGACATAGCAGTAAATTCTTTATTAGATTTGATATTGGTTGGAAGGTTCGCATTAAATGAAGCTGTAGTAGCTGAATTGAACTCTCCAAAATCATCAAATTCATTCGTATCGGTAACTGGGACATTCTTAGGGTTTTTAAGGCTATCTTCTTTACTAGGCGACTGTTCATTTACATGCTTAAGAATAGCATAAGGATCATATGATAAAGCTGCAGATTTCTTGGTTTCGATCTTATTAGGATCATATAAGAGTTCATTGTGGATTTGATTAGATTTCGAGCTCTCAGTGGTAACTTGCCAATCAGAGATAGATGCATCGATTGCACTAAAATTACTAATTCCAAGTATAGGTTGCTTGTCCGGTGCAGGAGTAGGCTTGAAATTGTCTTGGTGTTCCTGATTAACACTGTTAGATAGTAAAGGAAGAAATACCGGTATTAATAGTTATAATCTTCTCATTGTTCTAAAGATTACATACCTAGAATCACTCATCAAATTATATTCTCCTTGATTCTTAGGTGTTAATGATGGATCGTTGTCAAAGTGTTTGAAGGCACCATAATCATCATCTATATCCTCAGATGTAGGTTCTTGGAAAGTAAACTGGGATTTATTATCAGGTTTCACAGTTATTTCTCGAAAGATACTGTATTTATCGTTCGCTGTAGTTGAGGATTCGCTAGGCTGCGATTGGAAATCAGATATAGGTGTCGAAAAGGCTTGCCAATTCTTAGTTTCAATATTTTTTGTGAAAACGGTAGGCTCAATACCAGGCTGCAGGTCTGCTTCGGGATTGTCTGTAGCGTTATACTTTGGTAATTGAAACGATGGTAACGCAGTTTCACCCTTAGTACGCTCGCTTGAGGCTGTTTCAGTGGTTAGAATGTCTATACAAAACAGTATATCATTATTCTCTAATGCGAAAACGCAAAGAATAATCGTGACATTATCTTATACAAGCTCGAAGATACTTTAGTCATACCATTATCCAGCTTAATTTTAGGAATGGGAGCTGATGAACAAGTCTTAAACGAAGACATCAATTGATCAATTTCGCAGCCAGCCTAAGTTGAAGAGAAGTTTTATACACGTGCACATTGGTTGTAATTCAGTAAAATAGAAATTTTAAATTAGATATCTATAACATCTCATAAAGGCAAAACAGTTACTTGAGCTAAAGCTACTAGACCAAGAGCTAGATATAATTCCTGCCGTTTAAGGGTACCAGGTTGCTCACGGTTCGATGTTTCCCAGATTTTATATAACGTTTTCTTGTTAACACCGGAAGATAGTAGAATCGATTTAATCTTTGTAGTGGTAACATCACCATTGGGAGCTGCAACCACTTCATAAACTCTCTTATACAACTGTGGAATTTCTGAATCTTGCAAGCACCAACTTGGATACGTGAAATTAATTTCTGTGTGATTATCTAGCGCGCCAGCAGCTCTGGAGACGGTATTATTGATACCTAACAAACTTTCATTCTTTATCGTAGACGTAATGGAACTTTTTTGACTCTTAGCCACAGTACTTGAAATTACTTCTGGAAACTTTCCATTCTTGTCAGATATGACTTGCTGCGTTAGAGAAGTTTTTGCAAGTGATTGCTTAGTATACTTCGTCAGCGAATCATTATCGGATTTTGATTGGGAAATTACGGTAAATGATCCTTCAGGATATTTACTCTCAGCAATTGAAGCTATTTGGCAGGGTGTCTGTTCATGAGAAAGTTGATGATTTTGGGAACTTTCATCAGAAAATCCTAATAATAAATTGAAAAAGCTTTGTATTTAGCTTAATATTGTATTTCGATCGTAAATGATAATAATACGAATGATTTAGACTGATATACCACATGATAGTGGATGATTGAAAGCGCATTAGTATTCATTAAGTAGTTAAGAAATTGAGGAGTAGCTCTCTCATTAAGTCGTAACATTGACAGAAAAATCGTAACTATCCTATAAGAAATTATGTTGAATTGGTATGTCAAAAGAAGATTCAATTGCTGCTTCAGCGGCGCAGTCTACAGGATTTGTAGTAACTACAGTTAGACATACACTTCGGATATACCTGTCATGAAATCTCCAAAATCATCTTCGCCTTGTATTGCATTCGATGTTGCTAATGTAGGGTTTTGTAGAGGTGATAGAGTTTGATTTTCCGTTAATGCATTAGAAGTAACAATATTACTTGAAGTTTTGCCATACTGCGATCCATTGGTAAATTCACTAGAGCCAATAGCTTGTTGAAAGTTAGAAAAGTCATCTGTCGTTGGTATTGGCCCGTGAAGAGCATTGGGGATAGAAATCATTCGTACATCACTCATTGATGACTGCATTGAAAAATTGGTAGGCGCAGTGCTAATGCCGGCTTTGGTGTTAAGCGCAGAAGGGGCACCTACTTGCTTCTGATTCTTGGGGGATGCGTTAATAACGCTATCTGTTGTCCTCTCCCACATCGCGTTAAATGAAATTTGTGTTTGTGATGATAAATCCGGAGTTGTGACTCCCGATACGGATGGCATCTGGCTAATAGTGTTACTTTGAGATTTCTTAGTGCTAATTGCTTTTAAACGTTCTTTTTGCTCTTGAAAGTACTGCTTGCGTTTAAACTCTTTCTCTTGTTCTATGAGTAATTTTTGTTGCTTAAGTTGTTGTTCGATCATCCGTTTGTGCGCGGCTTGCTGTTCCACGGTAATTCCCATCTGTTGAATGTTTGTGAGTGGCCTATATGACGGTTGCTGAACGTTATTTGCTGCAATTTGTTGTTGCTGTTGTGGATAATAAATTTGGTGACGAATATTTTGATTTGGTATGGCTTGATTGGAAACATTTCCGTAAATTACGTTTTGTTGTTGCATCATTACATCGTAACCCTGGGTGATCGTTTGCATGCCAAAATGTTGAGCTGGGGTGTGCCCGGTCGCTTGATTGTGTCTGTAGTTGTTACAATCGCCCATGGAGTTATCATAATACCCTTGTTGCTGTAGAAGATGAAATGAATAGATATTATAGGATTTATTATATAATTATTATCTAAGTTAATTAATGTAAGGTTACTGCTCAAGTCAGTAAAACATTTCTGATACTGTAAACTAGTTTCCTGTATTTTCTATTTTTTGTAGTTTTAGAAAAGTCCTGACCTTAAAGTGAATATCGCAGTGATGCTGCGGCAGTGTACTTATTGACAATGAAATGTCCCTATTGGACATAGATACTATGTTGTACGTCAGGTCTAGTTGTACTGCATTTGTGAGCATCTTAGTCACTGCAAAGAAGATTAATTAGTATACAGTATGGTATAACTATTTTACAGGGAAATATGCGTAAATACTCGTGTTAATTATACGAGTCAGTTGTTAAAACCTTCAAGGTCTAAAGTCTGCTCGATAATTGTATATATAATTAATTACAGTAATATAGAGTCTATTACTTTACTGTACATCTAAATAATTTCTTTACAAAGTAACTTTTCGAGTAATCAACCAATTACCAATACCGTAAGCTACCTTTATCTCACATTGAAGTCACTAGAGCGGGAGCATCTTAATTCTGATTACAGTTTGCTAAGTCGCATGCAGTAGTTACTAGTTATTATATCATAAGGAAATGAAAGCTAAAGTGATTTCGTTTGCCAATATTCATTATAACTATATTTCGTAAATTGGTAACCAAAAGATCGCGTTATCTTGGACTGGTCAAAAATAAATAAATAACTAATTCCTATGTAATAACCTTTCAAACCTTTTAATAGGTATTGTACAGACTAGGGTTCTTACAGGCAAACTTATGAGTAACCAAGCATGTCAAAGAATTAGATTAGTAACGTATTTAGTGATGCATAATGTACGCATCGAGTTTACATAGTCGATTTAGAGGCGTCACACTCAAATGATACTCTATAGACAGGATTCAGAATTGTACAGTAGACAAGATAGATACATGGTATAGTAAGTTCGCGTCTTTATAGGAAGGAAATTGAAGCAAGAATCTAGTATGCATCGTTCAATTTCTATGAAACCTACCTGATTATACGGATACATGCCTATTAGCTAATTACGAACTTAACCGCAACTAGTACTATAGCAGTTGTGATCCGAAAGTTAGGTTAGATCAGCAGATCGGTATAGTCAGAGTTAATTCTTTCAGACTTTGGCAAATTCTAGGTGAACACAACTTCGATATTTCAACCAACACACAATCGTAATGCAGTACAATACAGTATGTATGATGGGTTATCGAAGCTTATTCTACTGCTGTACACCGTGTACAGTACAGTACAGTACATAATAAATATCTACAGTTTACGGTACAGTATAAAGTACTGTATACTGTACTGTATGCACACCGTGCAGTACTGTACAATCTACAGTATCAGTGAAAATAATGTCCGTCATGGAGGGACTACAGTACACAGTACTGTACTGCACTGTAATGTACTGTAGTGTGTAAGTACAGTACAGTACTGTACTGTACAAGTGACAGGAGAAGGGGAAAAATATCACTTAAGCTAGCGTGCAAATACTGTACTTTACAGTATAGCAACATCTGCTGTCCATGCAATAATTGTCAAAGTACAGTATACAGTACAGTACTGTACTGTACAAGTGACAGGAGAAGGGGAAAAATATCACTTAAGCTAGCGTGCAAATACTGTACTTTACAGTATAGCAACATCTGCTGTCCATGCAATAATTGTCAAAGTACAGTATACAGTACTGTACACTGTACTGTACAGTATAGCAATAATTTCTGATTTCTATATACAGTACACTACACTTGCCATCTAAAAATCGACTGAATTAATACAACATACCGTTCTGTATCATGACAGGGACTCCTCAACCACCCCAGCTTCACAAAAAAGTTACTTTTGTGAAGCTGGGTGGTTGAGGAGTTTCTTTTATTTTCTGTTCTATGTTATGAAGCTGGGGTGGTTGAGGAGTCCCTGGCCATTTACTGAGGGTTACTACTGTAGGCGAAAACTTTCTACTTGCATACTGTACACTGTACAGTACAGTACAGTACTACAGTATTGTACTGTACATTGTACGGTACAGTACAGTACTATGGACTATGGACTACAGTACTGTATTGTACTGTACCGTAGAGTTATTCGAAAAAATTCTACAGTACTGTACGGTACAGTACTGTACTGTATAGTGTACAGTACATTGCTACAATATTTAGTATTGTAGTCTACTGTACAGTACTGTACTGTACTGTATGATAGTAGTGTTCATCTTTACAGTTAGTTAATTAAGTGATTTGCCCACTTGAGTTTAGGAGCTGAAGTTGACTATTGCCGTGGCGTTTAAAACCAGGGTAAAACCGGTTGTTATGCTGGCCAGCTGTTAGATAGATCTATCGCACAAGCAGTACAGTACAAGTGCACAATATACAGTACTGTACAGTACGTGCACTATTCGTACTGGACAGTGTACAGATACTGTACTGTACATTGTGTATTGGCATATATTGTACTTACAGAGTTACAGTACATGCATAATCATTTTTATTATTATTATTACTATCAATCAATAACGTTAAATAGAAGCATTCCAGGTGCTTCGTCATGTCATCGTCTTCGCCAGTAAATGATAATCTGGAAAAAAGCGAGGAGTTGTCCTGCATTGATTTAGCGTTAGAAGGTGAACGTCTATGTAGAGCTGGTCAATGTCGCGCTGGTGTCCTCAAATTCGAAGGTGCAGTTCGAGTCGGAACTGAAGATTTAAAAACTCTTAGTGCCATTTATAGCCAGTTAGGCAATGCTTACTTTTATTTGCATGAATATGAGAAGGCATTACAATATCATCGGCATGACTTAACATTGGCGCGTACATTGGGTGATCGGCAGGCGGAAGCTAAGGCTAGTGGCAACTTAGGCAATACTTTAAAAGTATTAGGTAAATTTGATGAGGCGATTCTTTGTGCGAAAAGATACCTTGAAATTTCACGTGAAATTCAGGACAAGGTGAGAAAGAAATATTGATGGATAGGACGGTTACCGTAATTGATTCTTTCGGCACTAGAGATACTGTATACGCATATACCTACTTACATCTCGTTAGAATCGGTAATGTCTGTAAAATTGATTTATTTAAACCCCTCATTTTAACTTGGATTTCTGGTACAGAATTGGCTGTTACTTTAGAGATATTCTATCATTTTATGTTCGTGTCTGATAGCTTTTGATACAGCACCTCATTCATTATTATGATTATTATTATTAATTTTTTCGATCCTAATCTTGAATACGAAACCAGTATTGAGAGTGATTCCATTACTTATTGTTATCGCACTGGACTTATTTATAAGTTGTTGTACTATGCTGTAATGCCAATTTGGTGTATTTACAACAGTTCTCTCAAGGTTATTTATCCAGTGTCCTTAGTATGCCTTCAAAATACAGAGTATACTCTACATATAAAGGTGAAAGTAGAAACTAAAGTTTTTGAGGACAACTGTACGTAAACTGTACAGCTGTCTTTGTTACATACCGTAGGGCAAGAAACGACATATAGTGTACCGTACTCGATGTCAGTTCTATTAATCAATTTAATTATATCATGCATACAATATTTTTCCATATCCCTTTGTATTTACCGTTAATGTAAGAAAGAACTTATGCCCTTGGCTCAGCTGACTGGCACGCATGATATGCTAATAGCATTTCAGAGCGAATACAAGCATCCGCATTTTTTAGGATCTATGCCTGTACACTGTACAGTGTACAACACTGCCAAATTGCCAATATTATTATATTACATCGCTATATAATACGGGCTCATATTACATTTGTAATATTTCTTTACTAGTATTAAATAGGTGCCTAGAAAATACGTGATTGAGTAAGATGAACAAAGGAATAGGTCTTCATTACCTAATAATGCGATCTTTGTGATGATACTTAGGGAAACGCCGTTACTGGTTATAAATGTAGCAAGGGAGCATATACTGTAATCTGTTTAACAGAACCTGATATATTGCATTAAATGTAGTATTATTCAAGAATAACCTAGATATAAAAATTCCAGTCTTATAAACACTAGCTTCCAGGGTTAAATCAATCGCTTTTCAGATTACAAATCGTCATTTATAATTTACTGTAATAAACAAACTGCGGTAAGAAATTAATTGTTAGTTTGTTTGTTTACTACTGAAATACGGCACAGTTTAAGAAACTACAGGAATTAAATATATGTAATATAGAGGTATATGGGTGAGTCCATAGATGAATTTCTTACAAAACTCTATGTTCCCTATTTGCTCTCATTTCATCTAGTTTTTGATATCTTTTGAGACATTTAATTGAACACATGTATTGTGTTATTGGCTTATATCTATATGCGTTACAATAATGTAACTAGGCATATCACTTGCTTACAAATCCATGATTATAGTAGAATTCCTTTAAAAGATGACAAATCATAGAATGTATTCTTGGATGGTTCAAAATGACTTGTGCTTAGCAGTAGAACAGAATATCAGCAGTTCGCTTGTGAATGTGCACTTTACTGAACCGTACTGTACACTGTACAGTGTACAGTAATTTAAATTTGGTGATAATGAATCATGTATACGTGTACTAGTGCGTACCGTAGTATTCTAATACATTTGTCGCAGCAGTGCAGTATGCATTGAGCTTATGGTTTCTGAAGGTATGAGCAACTTTGGGGTCAACTGTACACGAGTATTGCATTAAAAGAAGAGTTTGAAGAATATCATAATTTAATTTATTATTTTTATTGCTCTCTCAGTCAACATTATTACGTGATTCGTAAGATTTAACCTTAATTTTAATTATGTGTTCTCATTATATTGTAACCTACTGTACTTCGTATGCGTTGGCACTACAGTAATTTAAAAAAACTGGTAAAAATGATAAGTAATCATAGTAAACTTTTAAACTCATTACTTGTATCAATATTACAGTATCTTCGTTGTCCTTTAACCGAATAATACAGTATAATAGGATTAACATTTATTTAATGGATATTTAGTTATAAGAGTTAAAAAGGATTACATCTTGATAAGTGCGAGCTCCCATAAATTTGCGAACGTGCTGTGATCTTTGTATTACTGTACTGTACTGTATAGTGTACAGTATACGTGTACTGCATTATAACCATTGGCCTTGAGCTGTACGAAGGTTTACCGGACTGCTGAAATGTACAGTACATAAAATATCGGGGTAGATTGTTTAATTGGGAAGGTTGGAAATAAGGATCGGATACAATTCCAGGATGAATTTTTTGCACGTTGTCGTTTAAGTTTCTAATTGGACTAGATTGATTGTAGTATCGTACGCAAATAGCACATTAATTAAATATTATTATGCTGTGCGCTAAAAAAGTTAAATCCTTTCTGCGTATTAACTGTTAGAAAAAATTTTACATCTTTTATACAGTCATTGGTTTACTGAGAGGTTGACAGGAGAACTTCAAAATTTTTAAGGAATGAATTACATAAATTTTATCAAATTACCACTGTATTTATGAGTTTATTTTCCACATTATACAATAATGGTAAGATGATAAGATATTTTAATAAGCTTACTGGACTGTAAGTAACTGGTGACTCCTTGGTGTGAAGTGGGTCCCTTAAAAATAGAATTTATTAGTAAACCACGCTAATATATAATCAGTTACTAATACTGATGTACTTTATTGTACGGGTAAAGTAGAGATCCTAATATATCAATTGGATAATGCTATATATTAATACTCGTATTAATGCTATAAACCACCATTACTGTGTATGATTGACGAATAATTCAGTTTTTATTGTTAAATATATGAATTGCAGTATTGAAATAACTCATGTACCGTCCGTCAGCACGTAAGACGGTTAACCGTACTGTAAAAAAATACAAATGATAATGTAAATTTATACTACGGGATTTATCACACGTTATAAGAAATTTTATTTCTAATCGAGATTGAGTCCTTGAAAATAGAATCGGCATAATTTCTTAGTATTGAAGTTATCGATTTTTTCATCGTTCTAATCAGTTTATTTAGGCATTAAGGTAACTATTGAGGCTGGATTAGTAGCACTATAGATTGTACTTAGTACAGTATTACGTTTATTTTATCAATCCACGGCATTTAAAGAATATGATAATCATGTTCAATTATTATTTGATGGTGTTTATCATACCGTATACAGTATCTCATTTCACGTATCGATCATTTATTACCTATCCTATAAAGTATAATGGCGTAAGGCATTAAAATCCAATTTTATTTTTATCTCCGGTGGACGTTGATATAAATTTAAATGTTTTTAAAATCTTTATAGTTATTAAAGTTTATGACTAGCTTTTCTTGCGTAATAATTTTTATATCTGTACTAAAGAATTTTTTTGTTTCATTTATCGGATAGCATGGCGAATCGAATGCTTTATATAATTTAGGAAATATTTATCATGCTAAAGGCAAACATTCAGGTCGTTGTGGACATCATGAAAACGCAGAACTTCCACCTATTGTTAAGGATACATTAGAAAAGGCAATAAGCTATTATTGGTAAGCGAAATGCATTTTTTCCTGTGAAAGATTAACTAGTTTAGAAAATGGAATGACAATAGAGATTTGTATTGTAGCTCTTTCAATAAATAATACGGTATTTACGACAATGTGAGGAGTGTTGCAACTTAAATAGTTAATCATAAAGAAATTCTTAGTTTAATATATTAGCAGATTTTGCTGTATTAACCGGAAAAATTACGTAACTAGTAACAATATGATATAAATTTTAAACATGGCACTAAAAGGAGTCGTTACTGAGAAATAGTGGATATTAGTATATTACTGTAATTGTAGCAGGATAAGTTATCGATCTAGTGCTGTTTATTCCTATTAATAACTAGGCATGTATGTCTTTCTTTTTCAAGGCTATGTCAACGGCTATTAATTTTTGTATTATATAAAAATATTTAAATAATAGATGTTATGCCTTTGTATTTGAAATTCGTAGGAAAAATTTAGATTTATTGCGTGAATTAAATGATAAGTCGGGACAAGGTAGAGCGTATGGCAACCTTGGCAATACTTATTATCTACTTCGTAAATTTGATGATGCAATTAAATGCCATAAAGAGGTTAGGTCACCAAGCATTTTGTAATTAATTCGCTTTTCGCAATAAAATTACTTTATAACATTTGATGGTTAAAAATTCAAAGCGAATTTATATATTTACATTGGGTCTTTGTTGTTAAAATTGACGCAAGATACTCACGCAAAATTTTATATGCAGCATATTTATGTCTTGATTTATATCATAACGGTTACAAATATTGTTTTAATTTGTTTTACATGGATACTTTCGGCAACGTTATTCTAGATAAATGTGCCATATCAGCGTATTTATTGATACCTTCTATTAAAACAATCTTATTTTAAATGTCTAATGTCCATAATAATACTACTGGGTATCCGTGTCGTGATATTATGATTCATTCGTTCCCTGATACCGTAATGAAAGAGTAATACGAGGCATAAATTAGATAAATTGTCTAAATGTTACAACGATGATATTTATGCTTTTTGCATTTTGTTGTTAACCTTATTTTGATCTAGAATAAATTAATTTATTATGGTAATTACTAAATTTTCTAACTCTTGATAAAGATAATCAATTTATTGTATGTTCCAATGCTTATTGGCTAGCGCCTAGATTTAGCTATTGAATGTAAAGATGTGTCTGCTGAAAGACGCGCCTATAGCAATTTAGGGAATGCCTGTGTCTTTGGCGGAGATTTAAGTAGTGCGGTTGAGTATTATAAGTACGTATACATTAGCCAAGTATGCTTTTCGAATATTATACGATTTTTGTATTGTTACTTTAGCATATTAAACTTATATTAATTGATCGGCTATTGTCTATTTATAGAAAAGCTCATACTATCTCGATAAAGATGAATGATAAAGCGATTGAGGCGCAGGTTTGGAGTTAACTGCATTACGTAGTATAAGATCATAGAAGAGATATAGGTTAGAGAATAATTAATTTACCTTATTTCCACATGTAGACGTGCTATAGCCTTGGAAATGCTTATACTCTCCTACGAAACTTTTCAAAAGCTATTGAAATGCACCGCATGCACCTTAAAATTGCTCAAGCACTTAAAGACCGGTAGGTATTTGCTTTTGTCATTACTAGCGAATTTACAGCAGTAAATGTGCATATTGAATATTTATTTAAATAAATTAATATAGCGTTGGTGAAGGCCGAACACATTGGAGCTTGACTAATTGTCATCAAGAATTAGATAATTTCTGGGAGGCTCTCACACATGCTAAAGAGCATCTTGAAATTGCCAAAGAGGTTGATATCGTAGCATCGTTTTAATCGTTAAAGTCATAATCATTATTCTCTATTATCCTTAAAGTAGTTTTAGGTGTAATCTAATTTAGTAGATACGATATCTCGTTATTCAAATTGCAGTTGTTTCTGTATATTGGTAGATTGGAGATCAAACAGGTAGATTGACAGCCCAAAATAATATCTCCAGTTTAAATAAAATTCTGAGTGTCATGAGCTCAAAAGAAGCAGAGAGCAGCTCGAATAAGTAAGTCTTTCATTAACGCGTGTCATCTCTGATGGTCATTTTTTAAATAATATTGTTGAGATTATAATGGTAGCTGTAATACATGATACATTTATTTAGAACAAGTAAAAGTAAGGGGGCAATCAAAACCGCTGATAACTTAGTAAGTATAAGCTATATGAATAAATATGAGTTATTATATGCTACGATTACACTTTAGAAATTTTAACGGTTTTTGTGGCAGTTTACATGAAATTATATAACTGTAGGCGTAATGCTCTATTTAATTGTTAAATCTATAATAGTATGGAAAGGAAAACGGGAAGAAACTGGTTAAACAACACAGTGAACCGCTCTATCCACAGTCAAAATCGCGTGCTAGTTTGCGTTCATCAAAAGAAGACGTAATACAACCATTTGTTTAACTACAGTAATATAGATTATGTTATCCCGATTTTATACGATCTTGTTTTTATTTAGGCCGTGATGAATGATGAAGTAGGACTACTAGATCTTATTCAACGCGTTCAAGGTAGCAGACTTGATGAGCAGCGTACAAAGTTACCGCCACAGAGTCGCGAAGGGATGATGGAAATGGTTGCAAGGTATTTTTAAATGCTTTATTTATCCGATATTGATTAAATTCTTGCTGATAGCGTCAATATATTGGTTTATACATACGTTCTGAATCGTTGTTAGTGCCCAGGGTAGGCGAATGGATGAACAGCGCACTATGTTACCAACAGCGAGTGACAGCTCCGGAAAGTAAGTAGTGTTTATGTATGAATAGTTAGAAAATTAAGATTTATAGCTATATTAAAATGCTCGTCTGTGCAACTAACAGTCAAGCAGATAATGCGAAGTTGCCTGGAAATCAGAGTGAAGAAATGTTCGATATGTTATTTAAGTAAGCCGTATCCCACGTTTGATCACACTTTCCTTGTTTCATTTTCATTGATGTATGCATTAGAGACGCATAAATCAATATTTGTATCTTTTTTTCTTTCTTTAAAATAGATCTCAAGGCAAACGTCTTGACGAGCAACGAGTAAGTGCTTTCCATTTACCTGGTCTTAATGACAATGGGGCTGCCAAAGTTAGGGAATTGTGGAAGAAGAAAAGAGAGAGCTTGGGTGAAACAAATTCAAATGAACCTGATAATGAATTCTTTGATATGCTTATGAAATGCCAGGTTTTAACAAATATACAAGTAGCAATTATTGTAATAATTATTTGAGTGTGTTTTTTATTCAGTTTAGAAGATTCATTAAAATAATTACGTTAATTAGAATCGCAAATGTTATATGTTTATTTATGCATAGTGCTATAAAATGACGGAAAAGTATGATACGGTTCTTAAAGGGTTCTCCTTCTGTCAGTTATGTTCGTTGTTAAAGAATGTTGTAAATGCTGATATAACAATAAAAACGATGCTATTTTATGTTGATCCATTATAATCATTAACGCATGTTTGTTTCATAGGCGTCACGAATTGATGAACAACGAGTTGAAGCTCACTTACAGATTTCTGCTCCTACGGTTCCGGATGATGATTTCTTCAAGTTAGTTATAAATGCTCAATCTGGTCGCATGGATGAACAACGATATGCGTTGCCTGAGCCTGGGTATCGGTCTCATACAGGAACATAAATAACCTTACAGTTAATCTGGCATTAAATATTAAAGTTTAACTAATGTATTTAAAGGCTTTTGCGTATGTATGCTAGAACGCCCTCCCAGAAATAGGCCTTTGTCTGAATGTAATATTAGTTTTAAAATCTGCATGCTTTGACAAGATTAGTACAGTTTTTGGCCAATTGATATCTTTACTTCAGCATTGTTTGTCGAAGTATTTGCATAGGACCAATAACCATCATGATATATATATAATTATACAATCAATGCAGTATGAGTTAGAAACTTTTAAACTACCACAGCCTTTCCATTAAAATATAAGTTTAAATTTTATCATAATGTTATTTGAAGCCTTAAACATATTATATCTAACTCTGAAGTACCAGTAGAACCCTGTTTGCGATTAACTAAAATACTGTAACAAATATACCAAAGCATACGGTTATGGATGCAGTAAACTATAGCTAAAATATTTATTGGCGCGATTGTTTAAATTTAAATTAATAGTTGAATTCCCGCGAGAGTATTGCTCTAAATAGAATAAGACCTGTTAATACTTTATAAATATTCATGAACGGTTGCATTCTAATGTCGTAAGGTGAACAATTCCTGAAAAACTATATTTAAAATAAAATGTAGCGATTTATTAGGTGATTTTACAAATACTTGATTGAACTCTACCAAGTTTTAAATAAATAAAATCTGAAATCTAATGGAATTTAAAGTAGCATTTGATTCTAACGTATCAATGCAAAAGCAGTATGTAATTTTGAGATTCATTTTTGATAATTTTATTATATTCGATACCAAAATTGCTATACGATTTTTTTTGGCAACAGTCATATATCAGTAAAAAATAGTTTAAAAATTATTAATAATTGGCAAAGGGTGTGCCTCAGTATTAAAAACATATTGATTAAGAGGCACGGGTTCTATCATTCTCCCTTCATCATCGTCATCAGAAAATAGTAAAAAGAGATATTTCAATGTTTCTGCTAAGAAGAAACTTTCTAATTTATCTCTATAACTGCCATGTTGCTTTACTGAATTAAGACTTGAATATCCATTTTCTACACGGCATTCTTTTTCGAACGCCTTAAAAATATTCCATCCATAATTTTTATATTTCGGGTCACGCGTTATTCTGTACAGTATGAACAAAGATTCAACGGTTTCTGGTCTTAATAGGTTATGGGCATCATTAGGCTAGCACAAACGCAAGTAAAAGCAGTTACATAAAAAATAAAGAAGTTTCTCAAAATTGAATATTGCCTATAATTGCAAGATTATAATTATACTCGTATGTTATTGATTAGTTACGGAACTAATGATACGAACCTTGACAATAATATCTTCGATCCCGTGTGGATTAGTATTAAAGTAAACAATTTCAGGGCTAAGTAACGTCGGCATTCGAGCATACATTTGATAACATGTTTCCGTTAATTCTTTTCCAATTTGTAGATGCTTAGCAGGTAAACCATTATGAGCTCCGAGTGCTAAATTACCGGCGAGAAAGCAAACCAAATGATCCTAATGAAATAGATAAAATAATTTTTACATCTTTCAAGAAGTGAAAAGTCTGCAATTTTACGATTAATTATATTATTAGTATATCCCAATCGTAAATAGTTCAATCAATGTCTAGTTTTTAGAATAATGAGGAAATTTTATCTTAAATGCATTTGCTCTCACCATTTTGGGGCTAAATTGAGATCCGTGCATTTCTCCAACATAAGTCAGTTGGTTAGGAACAGATTTCTTGATCAAATGTTTTATAACACCATCCATGGCTTCTTCGTAATATTCCTTAAATCTGGAGGCAAACATTACCTTTTAGATAACTCATTTGTCAATGGTGTAACGGAAGCAGATATAGCGACTAGATTACACAGCAACTGACCGAGTTTCCTGTTTATATGTTTGTAACCATTGCTTCAATAGATATTCATAATAGCTATCGCCTCTTGCACCTAAAGTAACAGTTCCAGATGTAAATTGGCCGGTATGTGTATTAATGTACATCGGGCAAAGTCCATCTTTCTTAGATAGCTTTTGAATCTTTGTTATTACATTATCAGCCAATCGCTAAATGACAGAAAAGGATTTCATGAGATCAAATGCCATAAATTTATCATTTTTGCAGGTAAATCGTAGCTAACAAAGCTATAGTTACTACGGGCAATACTTTGTAATTTTCGTCCTTAGTCAAGTAGGATAAATATCGAAACTCGAGCTGTATTGTTGAGACCTCTGAAAGACTGCTATCTCCGCCATATGATGGACCATGTGCAGTGCTACTACCTAAATTAACATCAGAATATGGTATTCCAGATGGGGTGTTGAAAGCTGGAAGCAAACGATGTCCTAATTCCTTCTACAAAGTCGTATATTTTAATTATTTAATTTTATTTAGTAATCAAAGATGACTCTGAGTTTACTACGGTACAATTTCATCTTTATAAGATAAGCTTGGTTAGAGTTTTACCATGTAGGTATAATAAGTTAAAAAACTTTAGGGATTTGTTCTATATACTACCTTAGAGCGCACTTTTTCGATAAATTTATTATATTACTGTATATATATGGAGCTCCAATAATGCATTTGTCAACAAACAACACAATTTATTATGGATATACTAGTAGCTACTATTAAACCATACAATCATAATCGATAATTTGTCTTCCTATTTACGAGTTAGGAATGAAAAAATTTATAAATTTTGTAGTAAAATAGGTATTACCCTTACATGATTAAAAAATTTATATTCGGTAAAATCCTTTAATGGATACAGTACTTACCGCTTGATTGAGAAAGACCTGATCTCCACTTATATTGTAAGCACTAAGCAATCCACCTAAAGCTCTGATAGTAATTTCAAATAAGTTTACATCGCGATTCTTGTTAAAAGTTAACTTATTAGCGATCCAATCACGAGCTTCAGAATATTCGTCCTTTAATCCCATAATCAAAATGGTATCTATAGAATCGACAATAGTCAAACCTATATCGAACCATGTACTATGACTGCGTGATATCGGCCGTAACTCATCATGGCCCCAAGCAAATTTTTTATATCCCTGCCATGCATGCTGAAATGCCTTCGCAACTTCCTTTTGTCTATCAGTTCTGTGGACTTTCCTATTTTAAGGTTACAAAATATATACGCGTAAATACATTATAGGGTAAGATAGCAATACAGTAATAGTAGTTATAAATTAGTCAATACATTGTGTTAATGTAACCAGTCGAGAAAACGTAAGTGTAGCTTACTAGTAATGATTATGTTACGGTCAATCCCCGAGAACCGGCCATTCCCTATGACTGACCGAGCAACTAGCTATTAACTCGGTCAATCCCTATGAATGGCCGAGTAACTGATCACCAATTTGGTCAATCATATATGATAGTAAAGAATACGTATTTAAAACTAAAAGTTTCCGGATATCAGCCTGACAGATTGCCTGAGGGTGTAAATCAAGGACTTCTAAGAGGAATTTCTTCGAAGTCTCTGGTATAAAGCGTGTAATAAATAAATGAATAGCACGTCTCCGTTGACTACAGTATAATAGGTATTATACAGATCGCTTAGCAACTTCGAACTAAAAGAATTGCTAATATTTGAGTAAAAATTTACCAATACAGAGTAATTTCGGAATTAAACATTAGGGTGAATATAGTGTACAAGTTTAACTGCAATTACTGCATTCTACTATTATAGCATATACTAAAACAATTCTGAATATTTAAACAGTGGCTAAATTTTTATAGCTTTTGGTTATCTCCATTAAATTAAAGCAAAAAATATTGAATTACGCCTGTAAACCTTTTTGAAGAAACCGAAATAATAGAATGATATACTATGATAATCACTTTTTGAGTACGTAGTATTGTTTTATAGTATTTAATTGAGTATGAATACAATTCTTAAGGCTTTAATACCCAGTTTTACCGCAATTACGGTCCTTATTTTACTTGATTATAAATTTTTTTGTAAGGAATAGGAAGTACTTTTAATTTAGTTAGTGGACGACATTGTACTGAAATTGACTTGCGAGTATCACTTTTAACATACTATAGTACAGCATAAAGGATAAGCATTGTATTACCATTGCCTAATATTATCTAGCCAACTGCTAGTCCTTTTACTCATTTTTGGCGGCGAATCGCTGACAATTTGCTCGCTGTTTGTATCAGATAAATGAGGATGCATAGGGCGCACAGGTCGATTTACGAGAATCTTTTCAGGGTTGTTAGTTTTATATCTTGATTTACCGGCTGCTTTATCGCGGCGAATATCTTCCATTATTCGCTGAGTATCAAGTTGAACGTTATTGCTTGATACTTTTACAATGGCTAGCATAACCAATGCAATAGTACCACATATAGCGATAAATCTTTGAAAGCTAGACATTCGGTTCCATGCCTGATAAATATAAGGAGCTGATTACTATTTATACCTAATAAATACAATAAAACTCGCGTAAAAGCAGTAAAATTTAGATAACAGCTAAATATATTTAGAAGTTTTCATTCAATTTAAGCTCGGTCTCATCCGTCATAATTTGCTCTCACTATATCAAGTACTCCTAGCATAGTGAACGTACATACCGTACTATCCACGAAGACTCGCCTCGATCATTCGCATCGAGCGAGCAAGATAGGCAATGCTAAAGTTATCTTACAAAAAACATGTGGCGGTATAACACTTGCCCTGAAACGGAACAATAACTATAGTCTACGAACCACAGGATTATAACGAGAACAAAAGTAAAGTCTTAGCAGATGGTAATTTATTATCATATAAGAAAGGAAGATCCATTAGGCTAAAGGGTATTATAAAGCTCGCATAGATTATAATAATTTATGAATACAGTTTAGCGAAGCCATACTCAAGATAAATTGTAAACTGTTATTGCTATATCTACGAGCACTACGTGGTATTTATGCTAGCGATAAATCATTTTTAAAAGAGCTAACAGTTGAAGTTAATATTTTATTTACAGTACAATTAGCGAAAATTAATTATGCGTATAGTATAAACAAAAAAGTTTTAAAGACAAAAAGTAGAAATCCAGACTGTTTACCTAGAAAAGTGTTGCTTTATAGAATTTATTATCGGAGGTGGTGATTTTTTTATCTCGAATAAAAAAGATATGACGAATAGTAGCTTTTTTAATGGATAGTAAAGGAGAAAAAGTAAGTGACTTAACCAACTTCAACTGCGATCAATTACGCATTAGCTGATTTCGATTAGACGCCGTATTTACATTAAACAGTGAAAGTAGAGACGCTGAGGGCCGAAAGAAGATATACTAAGATACTAAGTTAGTTAATTTCAATTGTAATCAATAGGACGTTGATTGATTTCGATTGGTGATACTGTACGTGGATTTTATAGTGAAAATAGACATAAGGAGGGTCCGTAATATAAGGTACAGTAGAATATTTAAGTGAACATGAGGATTTTTACTGCATGTAAGTGTATGCTATCGAGAGTAAATCTGCCTGCTGTAACTTTGGAGTTGAGATAATGAAGATAGCGGTGCAATGGCATTTAAGTGCGATAATACTGTTGGGTATTGCGGAAATGTAGTATCTGAGAGAATATCCTGAATCTGGATTTTACGTTTTAGGCCATAAATTATCTTTTACAATATTTAAATGTTAACATATAATCAAAGTAATTCATGATAGATTATTTTAACATAATAACTGATACTTATACAGTAGCACTACAACCACAATTAGTTTAATGAAATATAATATTGCGGTGAATCATTCAAAATCTACGTATTCCTAATGGTGTATAATATATATATATAATTATATAGTATTATGTCAAACAGTCGTAATCATTTTGTAATTTTTTAAAACACTTTAGAAGGCTCTGTAACTAGGACAAATTCAGTACAGTATAGTGTAAATAGGACCAGGTTAGTAATAATTTAATAGATACTTAATGCTAGTGCTGTACAGCTACGGATCACTAGTGGTCCATGGTCCAGTGGATGGCATAGGTTGTATAATATGAATATAACATAGTTGATGACATAGACAATGAGCTGGTACATCGTCATCAGGAACAAGTTGTTTAACTGAAAATGCCCTCATTTAGTGTGCCGTATAACAGTACGTTTGCTTCGTGTCACATTTTGGATAAGAATTACAATTGGGGTAGTGTACAGATTATACTGCATGTACACCTGTGCAAGTCCGGTCTTTCAACTATTAAAGATGGAGACTATACGCGGAAAGTATTGTCAATATAAAATAGCGTAGATAGTTAGAATGTTAAGTAGTTGATAGCGAGATTTATGCAAGACTCGAGATATGACGTGTGTAGTGTAGAGACCCTTAGAGAGGGTCTCTAGTTTACTGTATAAACGTTCACGTTAAAATATTGCACAAGCCTGAAGAATTCATACTAAATTTATAACTTCTGAGCATTTTATTGGCAAACCATCGGCTTACAGCATTAAGTATTTTTTAAAGTTGCTTGCATGAAATGTATAACAAAGTCCTTAAGTAGCTCCAAAAGTTATTTGCAGTAATGAATAATAAATGTACTTATTTCCGTACGGATGTAAATCGTAGTGTAGAGAATATGCTACATACTATACCGTAAATATATAGTCATGAAATACGCGTATTTCATGTTAACTGTTATTGCAAGAAGTTAGTATTGAGATTTAAGACTTCCAAAGTAGCAACTTGGTTAAGAACGAAAATCTACATTACCTGAGAATTACGAGTAACTTAATTGGTCGTTCACTTACCCTTTTCAAAGATACTGGTCGTCTGGATTTACTGTTATAATAATCCGCATCAACTTGCTTGATATCCATACCGATAAATTCTCGTTGGTTCGAGGTATATTTATTCATAGTGTTTAAAATGTTCAATTAACGTTATACGAGTAATGATACAGTAATACGCGTAAGCCTGACTGTTTCAACTTTTTTATATGGTATTAATATTCGAGAACAAAATTCTGAAAATAAACCACCAATAATCTATAAGCTATATTCAGTTTCAACTAGAGATACTATGTGTATTTATGCTCTACTGTACTCTTCTCAATTGATAGCAAAACAACTTATTGCACAGAATTTATAAATAGATAATATGTTTTGATCAAGTGATCAATGAAAGAGCTGCAACTAGGTATCCTGCAGGTTAACTTTGTGGTCTTCGTTTGCGTAGTGTTAATCGGAGTGAACAGTCTTTAGGCGTTATATTAACCGACATTAATATGCAAGCAAAATTGAGTCGTTGCCTCCACCAACGCTTTCAACTGCTAAAACTGTCTTTCTTTAGTGAGCAGGTATCTCGATGATGATTCTAGATTTACACTAAGTATAGTAGTAGAGTAAGTAGCCAAGTTAAAAATCGAAGAGGCCGAACCAGTTTCCATCTGGTTTTACGTAGTATAATACAGCACAGTTCTGTACATTGAGTACAATCCAACACAGTAATAAGACTATAGGACGATTGATACGGGTCGGATTAGGTTCAATCGGCTAAGAGCTGTCGTTACTGTAGTGTACAGTACGAATTAGTAGGCAGTAAAGATATAAATCTCTAGGTTTCCTTCCGGTAGTCCATCCAGCTCTAGTGCACAATGCACAATACTTGTCGACGTGTCATGCACACTTGCATAGTTGAGGTTTTCATACTGCACGTAGGTCTGGTCTACAAAGAATGCAAAGATTGTACAATGTACAGTACTGTACTGTACTGTACCGTAAGAAGTCAATAAGTTTAGTATGAAGAAAAGCCTTGAATTTAAAATTTTACCCTCTACTGTACAGTGTACACTACTGCAGATTCACACGCGTTGAAGATTAGGATAGAGAGAACATTACTGTATTGCCAATTTTAACAAGGAATTGTCACGTCTCTCTGTCTCGTTACTCTAAAGTAATAATATAAAAAGTAACGTTCGATCGAATAATAATATAACAATAAACACACAGTAAGTCAGCAAGTGTTCTGAGATTGCCTCTCAGGTAGCCCTGGAGGCATTAGGTGCATGACTTTTCAGAGTCTTTAGAGTTATCACAGATATCATCGTTCAGGTTCAGAATGGCTCCAAATATTTTTATCCATGTACCTATTTTTGGCGGAGATGTTAACGGGGCCTTAGTGCATATTATTTACTACAGTATAAATAACGTATATAATGAATAGTACAGTACAATAATAATGGTGCACTTATGGCACGAAAGGGGTACTAAGACTTTACGAAAGCACTATGAAGCAGACACCGTACTTTAGTAATGCATAAAAGGTTGACGGCTAATAATGTTATCCAATGGTATCTGTATCTCAGATTATTTAATTATTATCCACGCTAAAGATCCTGAAAGAATAGTCTAGATCATACATACTTTACACGCATCCAATTTTATATACTGTATGTCAAATTCTTTTCACTCATACGTACGCGTAGATCATCGATGACAACATATGTACGTGTACTGCATGCGCATGGCTTGATGTAATTAATTTAATTTAATATACAGTTAATTGAAATCTGGTCAACGATCTTGATTCGATAGTTTTTATTGAGTAATCACTACCTACCAACAACATTCTTTTCGTTATTATGACATTTGTTCCGTCCTGCTTTAAATCTACAAATCAATGAATTTCGTCTGAATGCCCTCATAATAACGGTATTATTCTCAAATTAACATGATAATAACCTATATACAAGTATATGTATGCCATATACTATAGTACGCCTTTGCATATAACAATCAATATTATACTGTACATGCTAATATATTACGATTACATTGTAATTTTGGAATTCATTAATTTCTAAATATACCATGACTTCTCCTATAGCCTTAGGTGGCTTAACCTCAATTGTAATTTGCAACGTTAGTTTATTATTTTAATTTGTATCTTATTGGAGAGTATTAGCTGCTATCAATTTACCTACGTATCTATGCCAGTTGTTGTTCTCGTATTTTCTATTAATGCTACACTATGCTTGACGATATGTAAGAGAGATCTTTTTGCAGATATTATACATCTTATATGCAGCAACTTAACGACGACTGATCGTTGAAATAGCGATAATTGGATCAATATCATAGAAAATAAATGTATAAGTAGAAACGATAATGATGTAAGTTTACCCTTAATTTGATTAGTTTTGTTAATTGTTACGACGCAGATTGCTGTAAGTATTCTGAATATGTGATTGTTAGTATACAGAATGTTTTAAAAAATTAGAATTATCATATAGACTTCATTAATTTCCGAATTCTCTTGACACCAGTTCAAGAAACTAATACACTCAGAGCGATTTAAAAATGAATCGAACATCTGCTAGTGTATCAGATAAATAATCGCTTTTAACTAATACATTTTCTTTCATAAATTTTAGTCATAAAACGGATTTCATCATATCTAAAATTAAAACTATAAATAGAAAAAATTGGTAGCATATACATGTCTTAATGTTTATGCTATACAGTATTTCGTTGTATTTATTAAAATGGACGAACTTTTGACAATAGCTCATAATTACTTCAATGATGGCAGACTTCTAGATTTTCTTATAAAGTATGAAATCTTACGTACGAATGAATAGATAAAAACCATATTTTCTAAATTGCTGTAGTTTTAAAATGAAATCAATCTTCAACTACAGGTATATCAAAGGAGATAACTTATATGACTACCAGACGAATATCTGAATTGTCACTAAACTACTACAAGAGTTTATCGAGAGTAGTAAACATAGTCGTTACTGATCTTAATTTTTATGAAAAATTAATTGAGCTTTGCAACCACCTGCTCATATTTAAGTTCCCAGAAAATGATCAAGACACAGATTTAACGTTATATTCATTGAATTGTCAAGATTTATTTGATTATTTGACAAAAAACTGTTGATGTAATTGTAGTTTATTTAACATGCCTTCTTTTTAAGTAGTGTTAATTTATCTCTCCACAATGAAATTACCAAGCATTAGTAAAGAGATAACCTTAACGATAATCTTCAAGAAAGAGCGAAGTAAATGTATAATTGCAGCAATTAATTTCAATGTGAATGAGAATAGGATAGACGAGGCACTCTTAACCTATTCTATTTCCGTTTAGATGTTCCTCTCTATATATCTACGCGTACTTATACTACAGCAATTAAGCTTCGATTACCGGCAATACATTAATTTAATTTTATATACAACATAACTTTCTTCTCGTACATTAGATTCTTAATTAAAGGATATGTTTATGGCTAAGTACATGGAATCAATGTTGCATGATAAAAGCGAATTTGAATTTTCTTATAAATTAGTTTTATTATATCGTAAACCTAATTAGCAACAAGTCTGTAATATATACTGTATGCTATAAATTTTAAAAATGATTTGCATAGAATAGCGTATATATTACTTCTATTACATGAACATAGCTATCAAAAAAATAGGTGGATATTTCATTAATATAGATTAAACTCTACGTACTTACATAATCTGATAAAAGTTTCCAAAATATTTTTCAATGTCAGTTGAATTCTTTTCGTCCAATTGGATATTACTATCAACAACAGAATGCGTATATAAATTATATACTCGAACGCATATTTTGTCAAATTTGTGTAATTACATACGTAGCGTATGCTATTGTCAGAGTATGAATTAATCAACTCATAAGATGTTTTTATATTGCTCTAGTAATTTTTAGTAACCATGACAGTTAAAGGGTAAGATATGATTCCAAGATTAGTTCCATAATTTGATTTAAATTTATCATTTAATACTTGGATAATTAATACATGCGAAAACCGATACAGTAATCTATTAACACTGAAGCATAGAACTGTGGGGCTTACATAGAGATTAACAGTATAACCGCTAGTTCATTTCTCTATATCGGACACTACTCTAAATTTAAACTTCAAGGATTTAACTGATCCTTCGAAATGGCAGGACGTCCATTCTTTGCTATTATTAACAATATGGGCGTCTTTGTTGACGATTCAGTAACGTCTATAGAGTAACATGTAATAATACATACGCTCAACAAGTGGTGTTTTCTTCCAACTAATGGCATTAAATATTAAGTTAAATTTTATTAGTAAGTAAGCTTAAGTTTATAGCACTATTCTTATATTTATTAAATCATAACCGTCAGCCTCAGCATTCTCATCCAATTGTATCATTTTCGTTGAAATTATTGCCATAGTTTTGAATATTTTATCACTAGATTATCACTACGTATTCCATTACTCAGTTAAAAAGATAAAGGCCATACTGTCGTTTCTAACCATTTTCATTCGCTACTGTAGTGAAATCAAAATTTATGCAAGAGATACCATAGTTGATGGACTGTCATACTTGATCAATTTATTGTTTGTTTGTTTAAATCATAAAGTAATGACTTCTACTTGTATTAAGTTATCGAATATTTTACTGTTGTAGGACTGCTATCAGTCGTGGATGGATAGTCAGTTAAGATTATCGTAATTTGCCGATATATGCCTAAATTTAATCAATATTTAAACGAGAGAAAGATCGTTCGCAGAGCCATGTTTACGGCCTTGCTCGCCGACTTTTAGATGAAACGCAATACATTAATCCAATATCAAAAGAAGATTGCGAAAAAGGATTACATCTAAGACTTCAGATTAATAAAATGGTAAGTATTTCGGACTTATATAAACATTTCATTATCACAGAGTTAACGAACGATTGTGAAATTACTGTAGTACTAAAATTACAATATTATCGAGATTAATAGCCATTAGTTGTGGAGTCAATTTTTTTGGCCGTAATTAATAAATCGCCATCATGTTTTGATAAATAAAAATAAAATTTCTTAATTTATGTAGTCAAGCTAATTTAAGCTTTGCATCCAACTGTAGCGCACATTAATAATTCCGATGGTGATCAAGGATTTAACTTCAATGCTAAACCCGTAGAACTACAATTGATAATTTAATGATAATGCAAGAATCGACAATAAACATAAATTAAATTAAAACTCAAGAAATTGATTGTAATTGGCTAAATTACCAATATAGTATTGCGTCACCGGTTCGCCTCTCATGAATCTTGTTTAATCGTTCTGATAGTTATAATTTATGTTATAAGGTTAATATTTAGCTATCTCTGCAGTTGTTATAAATTAGTAAAATGTTTACATCACATCCTTATCGCTTTGTTGAAGTAATACATAGACTAGTAGTGTTCTAAAGTTTTTATGTATCTAAGATTTCAACTAACACTTCGGATGCCTTCAGTGATAGGACCGGCGACAGGATCTTAGATTTTGTCGAATTATTGGTTACTCGCTTGCATTATTTGTTTGTGTATTTATTAATTCAAATACTATATAACATCTCTTAATAAATTCCTTTTACACATATAGAAACTCGAATCATTACCTACATATCCAATTCAATCTATGGTGGCGTATTTGTTAGCTGCTATTGTTGCTGTATGCATTATAGTATACTTGTTAGGATGTATTTGGTGTCGACGTAAAGAAATGAGCGCAATTGATGCAGCTGAACTATCAGCTCTAGTTACAAGCAGGAAAATGGCTAAAAGATATTATCGCATTAAAAGATCAAAACAAGAAGTCAAGAAATTATCTTTAGATTTTCCTTCCTTGGATAATCCTCAAAACAAGACAGTAAAAACAGATAAGATTAATTATAATTCAACTTCTTGGTCAGCTCGTGGTCGGCATAATGGTGTATTACATCAGCATCATTTAAGTGATAGCGAGATACCGGTGACTGAATTATCATCGACCGTACAGACTTCTAATTTGGGCTCAGGTACTAATTTGCCGAGGGTGCTACAGAGAAGTTATAGCGCTGATTTAAACTTGAAAGAAGCGCAATCAACTCGAGAAGAATTAAATAAAATTTTTCAAATAAAAAGCAAAATGCTAGTTAAACAGCTGAGCAAGCGAGGACCATCGAAGGTATGCTAAATTAGGAATTGATAATTTTAACAATTAGAATTATGAAACACACAGGTATAACATTATTAGAATTATTTACTATTACGTATGTACAGTGTACAGTAAGATAGTTGAAACGATAAGCAGTTACCTAGACGTACTACACGCAGTGTTAAGATGAGATCATGTAGTGGATTTACTAAGATAAGAGTATGATACGGTATTGCGGATATAACGCGGCATAATGTGTGGCCTCTTAGACTGTAGTTAGTATTTAAAAGGCAGTAGATCTTAAGTAAAGGCAGAATTAGTAAGCTTACCAGGTGGAGTATATCTGCGTCAATTTACCCCCATCGTTAACGTCTATGCAGCGAACACAACGTTTACTACATAATTTAATGGAAAAGCTTGAAGTTTTTGAAAAGATTGCATAATACGTATTACAGAATAAAAATAACATTACCATTCGTATAATTAGCGATGATAAGTAATTGTAAGAATCTACTTTGCCTAGGCTAACACCCTACCCAAAAATTATAAGGATTTATCAGTCAGTGGATCCATCCAGTTTACACTCAAGTATAATGAAACAGAGCAAACTTTATTCGTAAACGTGGTTAGCATTCTTAATCTGCTTGAGAAAGAGCACAAGAATTTGTGTGATCCATTTGTTATGATTCAAATTTTGCCTCAAGACGGTGATACCTTGACAGGAGTCACAAAAATCAAGCGCAAGACTATTCAACCTGTATTTAATACAACGTTTTGCTTTAAAGGAACAGTAAGAGATCTTAAAAGGAAATCAATAGAATTTTTAGTTTTAGATTACAACAAACAAAAACCACACAAAATTTTGGGTCAAGTTTTATTTCCTTTGGGTTTCTATGCCTTCAAAGAAGAATTATCATTGCATTGGAAACGACTGGGAGTATGTCCTAAGGTAATGAATAAGTAGATAATTTTGCTTTAAATAAAATAAAATGTATTTAAGTTCCTGTTTAACTTCCGAATATTTTCTTAAAAAGACATCTTATTGATCAAAGACAACCTACAAAATTGAATTCTGTTGCTTTGTAGTTAAGAGTTATTGCTACTTCGAAGCTATGTTCTAATGATAAAGATTAAACTTGTATATTGTACGGTAACTTTAGATATTAATATTTCTACATACTCACCATAAATCAATATGAATTGGAATATAAGATAGATTATGTAAAGGCTGTTTATGCTAGTACTTGTATATAATGATACTGCACAACTGTAAATCGACAATATACTCCTATTTCCAATGTTAAATTATTGTTTCATTATTGCATAGGAATTTCCGAGCCCTGGCGAAATACAGTTATCTCTTAGACACGTGCCATCAGAGGCAAATGATGAGGAATTAATCGTCGTTGTTCACCAAGCAAGAAATTTGTTACCAATGGATATCAATACCAGCTTATCGGGTAAAGCACGCATTAATAGGGCGGATGCAGCATTTACGCCGACATCTATTACAAAAAAACGTCTTGTATTAATTAGAAAACTCGTATATTCATTATATTCAATCTCGATAAAAATGCACGTATTTTAATACTTTCTCAGTGTCATATGTAAAATTATGCTAAAAATTTCATAAATATTGGACTATAAGGGTGTGCTTTATTTTTATCTAACCAACATTATAATATTCATACGCTGTTGTAGACGCTCTTGTGGAAATCACTATTAATACGTCCAGAATACAGACACAGAAAAGAAAAACACAAACCGAAAGGCGATCTTTGAATCCCATCTATGAAGAAACCTTCCATTTTAAGGTGTCATCTATGGAATTGGCGAGTGCAACGATTAGATTTGATGTTATACATGATCAAGCCCCTATTGAATATTATACCATTGGTTACATTATTATGGAAGGGAGTCCATCTATTGGAAAGGATATCCAAGGGCCCTTCTTCTTGCATTCCCTTCAGTCAACTGAAATCAGTAAGATTTGGTTTCCCTTGAACATACACGTATGATGCCGTTTCGTTATGGTGTGATGAACAAGGCTACCTATATTTTAGATAATAATTTCTCGTATTTATGCCGCCCATATTGCCTCAAATTATAATTATAATTATCGATGGGGCAATTATTTAAAATTATGAAAGTGATTTAGGATCCGCCTACTTGGGCGTGGCGACCACAATTATAGAATCTTACGGAACTATTACATATATTACGAAGGTATAAGAAATTATCTCTGGGTGTCTTATTATTAATACAGGATGTTTCGATCCTTTACTCATATATTAATGTTAAATATTATCGTAATTTAAAACTGTTCCAAAATTTTGTAAAAAGCTGCCTACTAACATTTTTAGGCCAGCACTAACACTATGCATATTTACTGTGTTACAAGCAATATTTATAACCACCCTATGAGAATTAAATAAGCCTAATACCTAATGCAATGAGGTAATACTGCATTATATGTGCGTCATGGGAGAAAATTTAGAAAAAATTCAAATCAATGCGTTTAAAGAAATGTGCAGGAAACATATAAAACCACTTTTACAACATGGTACTTGTTTAATTAGCTATTTGTTATCTGCTAAATAAACAATCGCTATTCTATATAATTTCAAGGCTGCACAAAATTTATTTCAGTATTAAAAAGCGGCCAAGTTATACACAGATATATAGTCAATTGTAAATGGTTAGGCAATCTAGGTATCATTTATTGATGGTAGTATAGAAAGAGGCAAAGGAATGTACCAGGGTAGATTAAATCAGAAGTAAAGATCTGACTTTGCAACCGAAGTACTAATTATTTGTGGATTTGTAATATATGAGAAGTTTCATAAAAGTAGCATCATCATTATTGCTAGTATTATTTTTAGCTTTGATTGTTGGTAGCTTTTGGAATCCATCCTTTCCTTTGAGGAATACCAACTTGCAGGGATTCTACCCAATCACCAGTTTTCGCGAAGTGAAGTAGTATATCGAACACTGACGTTCAATTTATGTTAAAAACGCGAGGAATTGAGTCTCTTTAAAACTTTGATTTTATTCATGTTAACGAAACTGATTCATACCTTGATTGATCGATAAGACCTGATTGTATGTTCCTTTTTCAGCTTTCATCATGTACTCCGGGATTGGTAAGCGGCATGTAGCGACTTCACATTGCATTCCATAATGCAGTGATATGCGCTTAAAGGTAGAAATAATAAACGTGTGTTATACCTCTCTCACCAGTAACTGCAGGTGCAAAAGTACTACCGCTACCATATATTTTAACATACTTTACGAATGCTTTCATCAACGATGCCACCTAGAACATATACTTTACTTGAGTCAATTTTTCTTAATACTATTAGTGGAATATATTGATATCAAGTTAGAATCAGTTCAAAAAAGCATATTACGGCACATGTTTAATTCCATAAAGGCAGTAATTATCCGTTACAGTACAGGCTACTTAAATATGCAGTCTTCCCTAATACTAGCTATGAGTTACCATTCTTTGAGTCAGGTGACATAACAACAATCTCTTCCGGAGGAAATAACTCTAAAACACTTTCGGTAGTTACATCAATCTATTTTCACACACGTATAATTAACAGGTTTAGGAGATTAAGGGCTACAATTTCTAATTTTATAGCTTACGTACGATGTCCGTTATATTTAGTTATTCCATTTTATTTAAATATATAAAAAACCTTATAATTTTGGAATCCATGGTGAAATTCCGTGCATCGCTGATACAATTCATCTTCTTGTCCAAATCTTGTAAAATAGATATGCCAAGGATCCTCTGCGATGCAATTAGAACCATATAGTCTACCAACCTGATTGCATAACTTAGATATTTCCTGAAATTGATGTTAATGATTTTAATGACTTTTCAAAACAAGTTTCCTAAAACATCATTAGAGATATGTAAATATCGAAAGAAAAAAGTAAAGTAAAATAGTGGATACCTTGTTAGTCATACCCTCAGTTAACCCCATGTCGATAACAATTCTTTGACCACTACACATAGCGGTACGTAATCTTCCATCTCTTAATATGTGCCGCTGCCTTTTCGTAATATAATCTAAGTATGTAGTTATATACGAATAAGTGATACTACCGTACGAACACATTTGAGTCTGACGACAGAAACAATTTTGGATCCTAAACGAAACTATACGACGAAAAAATATCGAGAAGCTTATACTTGATCATACCGTCGGTAGTTTCTCTAAGTGGTTGATCTAGTTTTTTTAGCTTTTTCTTTTCCCGCTCTTGTTGCTTTTTAAAAGTCAGTTTAATCTGCAGTTGTAATGCATTACAATAATTATATTATGTACAACTATCATTTCTCGTCATAGAAGATGCATATGCGCAAAACTGACTTTCATTTGCTTCCGTTTCTTCTCTCGTTTCGTACCAGACATCTAATTTTTAACAGAATAAGCGGTAAAGCTATTAATTTCATTAGAAATCCTAGATAATAAAGTATTACTGACTACATTATATGAACTCTACAAAATCTCTAGCAAACATACCGTTGATGTTAGAGGTGATGTAAGATTTCTTAAATCGTCTATAGTTTTTATCTGACGGTAGTAAAGTTCCGTATCTAATGGAAATAATTAGCATATGAGTTTAACTCCATGCTGTGCTAAATAGCGATTGCAATTAAATGTAATAACTATGCCAAACCAGAATGACAACGCCAAACAGGAATTGATACTGAAGCGCCATCAGTATTGCTCGATTCACTTTCTTCAACCTATTTCAATTTTATTAATGTTTCTTTAATATATTTAAGGATTAGGTCATGAACAACAATTACAATCCAGTAAATTTTAAACGTGTCTTTTTAGCTTAGACCAACGTATAAAAGTACTTGAATTGCAAACGACCTTAATTAAATTTTCCTTCAACTTCTCAATAGCCGCAACTATCGCTTCGTAGGTCCAAGCATGATGAAGCTCTTTCTTTAGATTTATAGCTGCTTCATCATCTGTTTTATTTATACTAAATTACAACTGTTTAATTAGCTCATATCTGCGATTGTTCTAGAGCCATATTATAAATTCTATAGCCATCTACTATGTTATTACTTACTAGTTATTCCAAAGTGCATAAATATAAAGTCTAATTTTCTGTGGTGACATTGGATATTGGCGGCATAAATCTAAAAATTCTTTGCTTGTATCATATAATGATGGATTTAATCCAGTAAATAGGCCAGGATTATGCAAAATATTCACTGTAACATACATTAATTTGAAATTTAACAATAGATAGAGTAACAGTAAACCGAATTTAAGAAATTTTAAATTGATTTTGTTGGAATAATGAAATAAATATAAGAAGTTGCAATATCTACGCCAAATAAACGATAGTAAAGTTTCTCACGAAATATCTACCATGTTTAATTAGGTATTAAAATACGAATATCAGCGCATATACTCGTATGTATTTAACTAATATTATGAGATAACGCTAATTTATAATATAACTGCGGATTTTAAGTTTATAAATATAGATCTGATTAATGATTTATGGAGCAAATTAGTACCGTGCGACATAATCCCCTGAGCGCCAGTATATTCCAGACAAAGATCAGCTTCAGCTAAAGTACTGATATCACTACAAGCAAAGACTGGAATGACCACAGAATCCCTAGAACGGGGAAGATAGAAGCCGTTTAAAAAATTATTATGCAAGTTTCATATCTATAAGATAGACAGTCTCTTCTTTTCCGTAGATTACTTGACAGCTTTAACAATATTCCAATCATCCAAGCGAAAACGAGGCTCTTTATGACGACAGCCGATAGATAGTAATTGACATCCGGCGCTTTCTAGACGTTTTGCATATTTTATCAGACTTGAGCTATCCTTGTCAGCTGCAATTTTAATTTTACAGGCTACAGGCATGTTTAAATTATCTCTTAATAATGAAATCATTCTTTGTAGTAGTTGAAAGTCCTTCCCAACAGCTTGATTTAATATAGTCTTAGCTAAGGAAAGAATAAAAAATAAATAATACAGAGGCTAGGTTTTAATTTAACGGATTAATTCAACAATTGTAAATTTCATCTTTCAAATTTGATTAAGAGTTTCCAAATTTAGTAGAACTAACCATTAGTCTCAGAATGCAGGGTTAGGTCGATAGCATCGCAAAGACTGTCAACTCTTTCTGCTGCTTGTAGCATGCGGTTAGGATCTCTTGAACATAGCTACAGTAAACGTGTCATCACAACTTAATATAAAGTACTAAAATAGATGATCCTTCAAGTATTGCCAACAATCAATTTAAGGTCTACGAAATATAAATTGAACATACATATACTGTACAGTAAATAGTTACACGTGCATAGTTTATAGGACACCTGTCTTACTACTATTAATTTCACCTGAACAATTAGCGGTCTATCTTGAAAGTTATTCGCATTTAAGAAATGATATTTATAGCTATCCCAGTCATTTAGGATTTCCTCTGCTTTCAATAACGGTGTATAAAATAATTGCACATTATGGTGTCGACACAATAACCTGAAAGCAAGGTCTAATGAAAAGTATCCATCGTTAGTAAGATACCTTGATTCGCATATAGGCGAACTTAAGTTCTATCAATTTTTAAATCGGATTATTGACGTGTTGGTATAGATAGTAATAAGATGTTGATATGCATAGCCAAATACATGTAATTGTATTACTTATACATTCACTGATACTCCTCTTTTAGGAACGCTTGCAGATCACACCTGGTATGTGTTCCCTAGGACCCACTGCATAACGACATGCTTTTATCGTTTTTCTCCACAATTCAAATCCATTCCTGTACGGGTTGCCAATTGAGGATGATGCAGCCATACTTTACGAGTAAGTAGGAACTGAGGTCTTATTAAAAATTTCTGGAATAGAAAATTATGGCCATAGGATAACTACACAATATATTTATAATTGTTAACTCAGTATTATGCCTTTGCACCTTCGTATGTTTTCGTGGAGCTAGTGATCCCTTAGAATCATATCAAAACTACCATTCCGTCTGATTTACAGGATACCACCGCAATTCACATGTCATACATTGCCGTTGCACTTGCAAGCACGAAGGAGCAGCTACTACTGAACTTACTTGCAGTATTAGACTGTAGTTAAAACTGTTCCTGAAAGGAGTGAGATATAGTATTGTACTGTACAGTCTAAAAAGATCTACAATACGGACAAACAGACACACAGACATTAAAATCAATCATTCAAATCATTTTCTTTTAGCGGCCAAGATTAATTGACTACTGCAGGCTGGACCAAATTTTTGGAGAAGAATTTTAGCTGAAGTTTTTCTCCCATCCGTTAATAGATCTCCATTCAAATTAACTATTAACCTAGTAGCGTGTACGAGCATTAATATTTACCTCATTTAGCGAATTTTCTGCATTGTCAACAGTAAGTGTACAGTAGAGTACAGTACAGTATACTTAAACTGCTAAATACTGATTCATGCGTTAGTATAGTAGGTATATCATATACACTTGTGGTAAAGAACTAGAGCATACATAGTGCGAAGAGAGAATGAATTACATATATAGGATGGTAAAGTCCACTCCATATACTCGAATGCTAATATCAACCAATGATTATTTAATTACCAACAGTCAAAAGGAAGTCAACATTGATGTAAACACTTGTGACGAAGAACTTAAGCAATCACAGTGCGAAGTGAGAATGAATTACATATGTAGGTTGATAAAGTTCACTCCACATACTCGAATGCTAATATCAGCCAGTAATTATTTAATTACCAACAGTCAAAAGGAAGTCAACATTAATGTAAATATACGAGTATTGTCTAGTATCCGAAAATTATTATTATTATAATCATTAAATAATCAAATTTAAGCTAGTAAATTGTCTTATGTTAGATTTTTTCGACTAAATTGGCTTTTATTTGGATTGTGTAAAGTTACTGGTGTCGGTCAGCATATAATAAGAGCATGTAACAATGCAATACGTGTATATGTTATTACAGAGAATAGTAGATCGAAAAGTGTTGAAATCGGATAAAACTATAATATACATTAAAACATTAAATTATTTATTACGTACGGCTATGTACATTACAGTAATCACCCTTTTGGAGAGGGTATATATCTATTAGATGCTACGTGTTCTTTTAAATATTCTCCACCTTTTTCTTCATAATCAGATCGTGTTATACTAACAGACTGCAGGTCGTCTTGGTCAAGAAGCCATTGCTTTGCACCATACCATACGTCTGACATCATATCATCTATCAAAATCAAAGTTATCACGTGGTAATTATAATTACTTCCAGTAAATGAGTTAATACAATAAAATAAGACATGATACGTTATCTATACCGGCAAATGCTATTTTAAAATCTGATCTAAAAGGACGAATTTCGCGTAGTTCATTTTTCAATCTGTCATCAAAATTAGGGTATTGCAAATTTCCACCGGTAACAAAGATATTCTATAAATTTTTTAAAACGTTAGTTACAGCAATAGCCGATATATATAGACTACTCAATCGTTTACCTGAGCCAGTAAATTCTGAACATTGTCTGGATAATGCTTTAGTACAAAGGCAATAGTGCTATGCAGTCCGGCTTGCTCCACACCTCGAATAGACGGCTGAAATAGCATTTCGGTGACCCTAGTTTGATAGATTATGTCTCAGTATCATTTCTACGAGAAGAATGTAATGCATAAGAACGAGTATGTACCGCATTCTCTCGATTCCAATGTCAAGCTGGTAGCGCGTAGCTACGTCTGCTGGTTCTGGTGAATTATCTTCTATCTCTCTTCCATTTGATAACATATGTACGCAAATATATTAGCATGTATACAATATAGCATTCAATAAGTGTAAGAACATGCATCAGTAGCTATATGACAATATGAAAATGGGACTATCGATATCTTATTTATAAATATATCCATGCTATTCTCTTACTTTCTAAAATTTTCGTCATACAGTTTCAGTAATGATTCTAATTCATTTAAACGAGTTTCTTCTTTCTCACTATCGCTATTATCCAAATTCTAAATCAAATTAACGATTCTTAAGTACATTGATGTCAGCTTTAAGTAATTAGCGTACTACATTAATAATTAAAATAAGAGAAAAAAGCAAAACTATTTCGTAGCATTCGGATTATACGCGTAGACCCACAATTGCCTTATAAACCATCCAGTCTTCATCATTTTGACCAAACGTATCCTCTTCATTTTTAGAACCCTTAACGCCCTTCCCGGAGGCTACTTAAGAAGTGATAACAGATTACAGTTATAGTAAAATTGCATAAGCTTATAATCAAGGAATTGTAATGGTATGCAGGAGTACAGTAGCAGTACAATTTACCCCCAGTATTGTCGGCCAACTTTGTAATAATTCGCATTCTTTCTTGGGCCGCATGGCTTCTTCGTGAAGCCATGTTCTGCTTCAAAGATCGACGCTGTTGACGCTGATTCAATATTTCCTGAGAATAATAGTGATAAAAATAATAAAATTCTTATACATGAAGATTACTTGTACAGTATACACATTGCTAAACATAAATTTACTTCTCGTTGTTGCCGGATTCCTTCCAGCCATCCGTCAAAGTCTTCTAGACGTTTTTGTTCTTCTTCTCTTTCCTGTGCTTCTTTTTGAGCTTTCCGCTCATCTCTCTCACGCTTAGCCCTTTCTCTACCAATACTGGCATTTTTTAGCATCCTTTGCCTTTTCTTTTTTTCTATTTGCTCAGATGTTAATTCCTCATCCGGTATATCAAGGAGGTCATATACCGCTTTAGTTGCTGATCTCTATAGTGAAAAATGTTTAGGACAGGACAGGAATGAATAAGAAATTATTGTAAAATAAAGTATAGCAGCATTATCATAGCTATTTTCGATTTTATAGACGGAATAACGAAAAACATTACTTTTATAGGTATTTCTAAGAGATAAAAATTTACTGTTGGGTCATCATCATGATACCTTATTGCTATTACTTTGACCATTACTATTAGTAGCCTTTTCGCGTCTCTTGGCAATAGAAGCTTTTAAACGATCAATTTCGAAATTTAACTCCTACAATTTGAAGATCATATTATTGGGGACATTGATGCAACCTGAGTATATATCGAGAGATGTACCTCTACACCTTCAAGCTCTGCCTCTTCCAATGCATCCTATCATATCAACAAATCGGTATTACTATTATGAAATTATTAATCTTTATGCTATCGAATACTACAGAACAGTATCATTATTGCTATATTTGTAGTAAGTTATTATCGTAATTTTAGCACTCAGCTTACCCACAGCTCATCTTCTTGGCCTTCTAGTTCTTTTATCTTTTGCAATTGCTGCAATTTCTTTTCTTCTACAGCAAGCTTTCAAGTAATGGCTCATGTAAGTCGTAAACCATATTTCAAATAAGCGTGAATAAAATTTAAATTATATTTACCATTTTGTCACGCCGACGGGCATTAAGTTCTTGCAATCTTTGCCCTTGTTTCTGCCGCCTTAATTTTTCTTTTTCTTCACATTTCCCATTGGAATTAGTAGTGCTAGTAATTGGATTAAATGGTAACTGGATTTTACGTGCATTTTGACGGTAGAATGAAGGTGATGACCATTGATCTAGAGCATCATTGTAATTGCTAGCGACATAAGCATAATCATGTACCAATTCCTGAAGCAAATAGTGCATTGAGTATACGCTTTTAATTTTACATATTAGGATTTTTACTTCAAAAGAAAAAAATGATGAAGACTACAACCTGGGCTCTTGATAAAGTAATCAAAGAGGCATGTTGGGGATATTTTAGTTGTAATAACCTTTGCATTAATATCGTGGAATATGCTCCACCGATATTTATCCTAAAAAGTATTATTATCGTTAGAAATACAATTACAAACGCTATAAAATTGCAATTGACTACAATAATTTTATTAACAATAAGCAGACCTTTTACAATTAGCAGCGTCAAGCATGCCATCAACAAAGGGCAATACATGTGTTGTTTGATATCCAGATGATATTATTAAGGCCGTATTAGCTAGCGAACCTACGAATATATGAAATTTAAGGAAAATTTCGTCGTGTCTGAACATTTAAATTGAGTTTGGCATTGAGCAGCAAGCAATTAATACTACCAAATTCAAATTTTACCTTTCTTCTTCGCATTGCAATAGTAACTGAATAGACTATCGACACCATAAATGATCTGTGGGACGTGGTAGCATTCAAACAACAGTTCTGACATTACTAATAACACAAATATTCAGATATAGAAAACATCGTGAGCATGATAAGAACTTCTTTAATGGCTTAGTAAGAAATGCATTGCATTCCAATTAATCAGATAAGTTAAATAAAGTATTACATGAACGACAATAATTCGGATTACACACAGCCTCCGTCATTAAAATGGGGTGATCGATGCTTTGTTCAGATGAGATACTCAAGTGGCTGAAGATATGATCTAAGATTTGTTCCTAAAAAATATTAATGAATTCCGCAGCTAAGTATAGATTTTTTGGAAGTAAATTCAGAATGAAGCATTGTACCACTATTTAACATCAATTTTGAACTGAGTACATGTGATTGCATTTATTGCGAATAACTCACCATAGCTATGACTTAGACATATTTTTACACATACAGTATATTAATCTTACGTGCCATTTTATTTTGTAATAGGTATTTTATGCGGTATATGTGCGCTAAAGAATTGACGCGTAGCTTCTTAGATAGCTACCTTGCTTAATCACTGTGTTACTTAAAGTATCAATTTGAGTACACATTAAAACTTTATAGTCCCACTTCTACCATTAATATACAGTACTTAAAATGTCATTATCTGAGTTACTATAAATACCGTAGGGTGCAATGCATTACTAAAATGTTTAAAATTTTTCCACCTATTTTAATAAAAATCTTGCAAGACCTGTGCATCAAAATGGGTAACAACGTCAGCATCGAACTGAGTTCTTAACGACCATCGTAATAATTCCAAGTTGTTAATATCATTTCCTATTGAGATCTCTTCCTGTAAATATTATCCGGAGTTTATACACAACATGTTAGAAATTATGCTTTTCAATCATTTTCTCAACTAATGATACCTATACACATTACTAACGTAAACGCTACTGCTGTGAAAATCAGTATCTATTAATCTATGAATAAATGCAGTAACATAAATGTCTTGAACTGAAGTACAAGTACCTATATAATCGTGGTGTCAAAGCTAAATTTAAAAGGGATTCAATTGTTGCCTACCTGAATTTGTCCTTTCCTCCCCTTTGACTTAAGCATTAGATTTCTGAAAATCATCTTTGGTTTATCATCAATTGCCCAGCCAACACGACACTGATATGAGCCTATAAAAAACATCGAATTTATACTATTACGTATTGCAGTAAATTTAAACAGACGTCAAGTCATCACAACAATATCACGCAGTTTTGACATCTTAAAGTGAGGTTACGTAAAGCTTTCTACAAAATGTAGTACGCGTATATCCAGTTCGTACAATATCAAATTCAGCTATGCAATAAAAGGACTTAATCATTACCGTTGTCGATAATAAGGGGCGTTTTTTCATTTTTAATAGTCTGCGTATATGGAAAGTAAGGATCGGGTTTTACTTGTGTATATAGGTCTTTAAAAGTAGAAACATTTTCATCCACCATTGAATCCATCAGGCTGTAAGCATTACCTATAATTTACAATATTATACCAAATATACACAGTAAGATTACAGTATAATGATGATGTCTTGCTAATAATTGAGGCTTTCATATTTTGGATTAATAATACAAGATGCCAACTAGGATAAAAATCAGGGATTAATATTAAGCAAAATTTTCGATTACCATCAGATTCAAGCGCCATCTTTCGAATTTATGCAGTGTAGTGCAGTAGACTACTGTAGCGGCTTTGGTACAGTACTGTGCAGTACAGTATAAGAACCACAGTACTATACACTGTACAGTACTTGACTGCTCGACTACAGTACAGTACAGATGTACAATGCTGTACAGTACAGTACTTTTACTTTTATTCGTGTAGCCGTCCGTGTACCTGTGAAAACGTTTCGAAATTTAAAAATTTGAAAATTTATCTGTATAGTATTTACAGCTAATATATTGTAAATTAGTTTGCATGTGCATTATGCAGTAGTGAACCAGATTTCAGGTAAAACCATGCTTATAATCCATTAATTAATCTTTCACCTCTCTTATTTTATCAATAGTCAAGACGGTGTGTGATAATCTATATAATTTACAGCTAGTTTGCCCCATCATTAGACAACAAGTTTTCTGCAGTAGTTACTCAGTTCTTGACGTTCTGTATCAAGTAAATCCACAATTAAGAACACGAGTACTGGTACAGTATATTCTAGAGCTGTGCACGTAGCGAATTATGTTGGAAATTGCTGTTCAGTGATTATAATCAGTATCTGCATATGTCTGTATATCGGTTATCTCTAATTCTGTACATGATAATGAAATTTACTCGCTTTGTGATGCATTATATCAGCAATATTTTATTTTAACTGTAAATAGCAAACGAGTATAACATTGATAACATACTGTACAGTGTAAACGTAGGTAGCTGTTACTACAATAGGATTTGTCTGTTCTACCTTATCCAATCTAGATACGTTACTAACTACGAGTATTAAAAGAAAGTCATCCCCAAGGAGTTACATCCTTACAGTAATGCAGCGAAAGCGACCCTATAGCAATAAGAAAAAGAAGAAGCAACTGCAGGAGAAGAGAGAACGTAAAAGAGGTATATACGGGTATAACGTCGCCACGCGAACGGAAATAATTAATCAGATAATTTTTTCCTGTAAGTTTTGTAGGAATAAGATAAGCAGTTAAGTACGGTATGCTGTGTACTGCTATGGACTTCTAGATCCCCAGTTCTAGAAGTCCATGGTACTGCTCGAGCTAAATCAAATTTTACTGCTACTCCTTAGCACAAAGTTGTTAACCGCAGTTTACAAGCATACTGTAATGTTTACTGTTAACTTGATTAGATAGCTTCTGCATCTGTAATTCTGTGCATTATGTTGTTCGTAGAGATCCTTGGTTAAAACGAAAAGTCCCTTTATTAAATTTACTGTATAATTTTGCGATCACCGGATTTTAAAGTTTTATATACTTGTCATATAGAAAATCGTGCTTTTTTTTGCACTAGTACAGTATATACATCACATATTTACATACTGTAATTATGTGAGCACTGTAATAACGATGCCTTCATTTTGTTCTTGATACAATAGCTGCTGAGCAAGTCTCTGGACTAGACGATGGCCTCTACAATACTGATAGTGCTGCCCAGAAAGCATATGATGATACTGGAAATAATCTACAGGGATTGCAAAAGGAAATACTAAAATTGCATACCCAACCGGATAACATCTGTAATAAAGATTATGATGCTAATAGGTTAATCCTTGATCATATTCAATAGTATAGAGTCGGACGTACTACTAAGTACCGGATTATTAAATAATATGTTATAATCGCCTTACAGATCCGAATTAATTAAGCGGATTATGAATAATCTGCTATTATAGATCTTTCCAATATGGCTAGCTAGAATTTAGAAAGAAGGCGTATTTAATAGACTCTTAACGAAGCTATAATCTCCAAATAATACAACTTACGTTTTTAAAATTTATAGGTACCGAATACATTTCTGGCGTGAGAAGAAGACGACAGTGGACGAACGAAAAGCCCTGTCTCATCAACCTATTGAACGATTAAGAGAGGTTATAGTGCACATTTCAAGGATCATAGAATAGTAATTTAGTTATCCTTTAAATAGAGTTAAGTTGTTTTAACTTATAAATGTACATGATTGGCCTTATTGTAACATAGTAGACTGATTTGGAAGTAGCCATAGAAGATATTTATTATCCTGGTTCAGGTAATAGTAGTGCTCATCCTTTGTAATTTATGCAACATGATAATTTGGAAAATTGATTTATTGTGATTCAAGAGACGACTTTACAGCTCTTGCTTATCTGTGCTATTGTAATGCAGTATTAGATATACCTAAACGGCCGAATTGGTCATATCAGATGTCTAAGAATCAAGTCGAGAGGAACGAGGAAAAATACTTTATCAACTACCTTCAAAGTATCCACCAAAATCACTCTGAAGAGACGTTAAGCTATTTTGAGCATAACTTGGAAGTAATTTCTTTGTAATCTAGTCTTAACACAATATTGTAATATTGGATTAAGGCTGATATGCTGTATTTCGGTCTAGAAAGTACTAGCTAACGATAGTCATAATATCTATTCTAATTGTAATGTTTTTATTGTACAGACCTGGCGACAGTTATGGCGTGTGCTAGAAATTTCGAATTTAATTCTAGTTGTTGTTGACATTAAAAATCCTGTAAATAGCAAATGGCACGACTGTATTTTCATCTTTCTGTGTTCTCTGATAATATTTCTTCCTATCTAATGTGTTAATCTTGATCTCATAGATACTCCATTTTCCTCCAGCTTTATATGATTACGTTGTTAATGATATGAAAAAGAGTCTCGTTCTAGTTTTCAATAAGGTGAAAATCCTCTGGTGGTTAAAGTTGGATTTAATAGAATACGGCATTTGTTCGTTAGGGTCTGATTCCAATATGTACTTACAGATAGATTTGGTGCCTGCGCCTGTTGTAGTTGCATGGAAACAGTATTTTATGGCAAAATTTTCGAAGTTACGAATTGTATGTTTCACTGCTTATTCATACCATAATGTTGACGGAGTTTCAGCAACCACCGCAGAAAATAGTAATGACGAAATTATGTGCAGTGTTGACATTCGTTACTAGCTATAACAAAGACTGAAGTTATATTTTTTGAACAGCATTAACTCGCAAACGCCGTAGGACACGCCAGATTTTGAATGTTATGGGGTCAAGACAGCTAATTCATGTTTGCCGTGAACTATTTCCGGATACTGGTTAGATAATGTTTTCTCAACAGTAAATTTTTATGTCGATTATTAGCTTATTAATGATTAGTGTAATGTTTACGTTTATTATAAATTCTTTTGGAAGCAGATCATGCTCAATTTTGTTTACTTGATATATTTATGTATTTAGATTTATCTCAGTGGGAGGAAAAGATTGAGATAATACCTTCAACTGATCAAGATCAGCTTTCGTCGGAATCTGATTCGGAATCGGAGTCTAACAATACCACAGGTCATCGAGAAGAAACAAACGGTAAGATAGATTTCGAGAATTACTCTAGAAATTTATCTACTTCTTATTTTATTTGACAATCTATGAAATAGATAGTGACGATGATATCAAGGATGAAATGATAACAATTGGACTAATAGGTAAGTTATTCGTATAGAGGTGACAATATGCAGTAAACATAGATGTAAGTCATACTGTTACTTATTTTATTGCAAAACGATAGAGATGATTGCTTTTATTTCTAGGACAACCCAATGTTGGTAAATCATCAGTCATAAATGGTTTAATTGGCAAAAAGGTAAGTTTAAATCTGAAGTGAAATATCAGTACTTCGACGTGCATTGAAAATTTTGGATAATTAGTATACGAAATGCGGATTGGTTATACGTAAATATGCTATATTTTTAGAATTGCACTCATAATGAGAGGTGCACTTACATTCTATAATTAAGAAGAGCTTGTTGTATTTAATTGATTGATTCCTTAGATTGTTAGCACTTCTCGTTCTCCTGGCCATACGAAACATTTTCAGACTATCTACTTGTGTCCTACCATACGATTATGCGATAGTCCAGGAATAATATTTCCTTCACTAATAGATAAACAGTTACAGGTAGTGCTACATTAACTTCTGATGGTATTTACGGCTTATTTGATTTAATGTATTAAAAGGATTTTTCTTAATCTATGCCATTTCAGATTTTATCTGGATTATATCCAATTTCACAAGTGAAGGAGCCATATTCTTCTATTGCTTACATTGCAGCTGGAACTCCCTTACCTAAGCTGTTAAATATTAAGCACCCAGACTGTAACTGTAAAAATCCTAGTGTGGAAGACGGCGGCCAACCAAAGCATCTACGATCATTCTATATTGCTTGCAGTAAATGTAACTTAACATGGTCTGCTTGGATGATCTGTGAAGGTCTCCTGCTAATAATAGTTTTTTCTAGTAAACATAAGCGAGTACATTTAGATATATGTGTCAGTGTATGTAATACACGATAAAAAGATAGCGTACCTTAAATTACTTTCGTTATGATCATTTTCTAGCATGGGCCATGAAAAACGGGTTCAAGACCGCGAAAGCTGCAAGAAATGATGTTTATAGAGCAGGTATAAATGTACACCGTATGAATATCTGTCTCGTAAACTTTTCTAAACAATTTAGAAAGTTACTGAAGTTGCTATGCATTTAATGATGTAATGATTTAAAAGGACAAAAAGATCATCTTAAAATTTTATTGATTTATACCCTATGTAGCTAATAATTTGTTACGATTATATACCGATGGTCGACTTTGTTATTATATGCGCCCTCCTAATTTTATGGCTAAAACAGGTAATTTATTGTACTTTGATATTTCTCAGATTATTTTATAATAGATTGTACCGCATCATAAACATTCCTTGATATTTTATGGCTCATAGTGTCTAATAGAGCAATTTTATAAATTATTTACTGATCGCTATTGCTAAGATTGGAAAGAAGAAGATATACAAGCAATGAAGCTATTACAGCAGAACCATTACAGAAGTAATGCGGCAAAAATGGAAGAAAATAGCCAGATGGAAAACGATTCGAATACTAATGCCTCTAGTGATGAAAACTTTGATAGCAATCAAGCATACAACTTTAACCGGTTTGCTTTACTATTAGAAAATGAATAAGAAACGTACTACCTTGCATCAGTATAGAATCAATTACGAATTATTTTACGAGGCGGATGAATATGCTTTGATAATATAATTACTGTACGTATTATGATTTGATGATAATTATAATGTACAGCTAACAAACCTCTTCATTCGGTATGGATATATTGTCATATATTCTCTAGTAGATGTATTGCATCATATATCTATTGGCGTCTGGCCTTTGTAATATTGTAATTAAATTGACAAGGAGATCCGTATTTATGAGTATAAGCTGTAAAGAGTTATCTGAACTTTTATTAAGTATATAGCAAAACAAAGAGAAGCGAAGCAAACTCGCAATTGAGTTCAAGTTATTGTACGTTATTGTACGCTTTGCCAGAGTATATTGCGAAATCACGAGCATTCTCACCGACTGTAAAGCTATGTGCTTATTCTATTGTATCCTTACATATATAAGAAACTAACTTAACTCTTGGCAATATATCATTATAATTGCAATTAATAAACTGTGTAACTTTTAATAACGTGATAGCGTAGAAATTCTAACGTGTCCACATCATACAGCGCTGCATAAAGATATAATTACAGTAGTGTATATAATAGCATTCTTTATTAATTAATAGGATAGTTAAAGATATCAATTACAGTTAAATTGCACATAATCATTTCAGTACTGTAATGTAACGCACACATAAATGACAGTAATCACTTCATGAGATACGAGCTTTTAAGTTTTTCGGCTGTTTTCGAATAGAACTCTTGATTAGAATTGTATATTAAATTAATAGTCAATAGTCTTAATTTCGGAATGCAGAATATAACATGCCTGGTCCACACTATGTATATAACACATCTTATCAACATATCGCACAGTAATATAAATTACTCCAGCTAGAATGTAAAAGTGACGATCATGCACGCTACCCGTATGTGCAGTATGGCCGAACGAACGACCATTCCTATTTAATTATGAAATAACCTCACACAGTTGAACCGACGGCAACCAAGTAAGTATTTATCGCCGACTAGGAATTGCATTATTTATATCAAGAAATAGTCTATTCAGGCATAATTGTATAAGGAAACTAATATTAATAGCAAAATAATATAAAATAAATCAAGCAATAAATACTATTTACTGTAAATGGCCATTTCAGTATGTTTTTGTTTTACCAAAATTATATCCTTTTTTACAAATTTAGATCTGCGATATATATTAATTTTAATAGTCATTCAATAATATTCTATCAAAAATCTATTTTAAAATAAAAGTAACAAAATCAAACATTGGATTCCTTTACATCCGCTGACGAATATTCGTCATTATGAAAGCCAGAGATTATACTGTAACTACTTCTTTTTGAGTACTTTGAAATCTTATTAGCTCTTACTCTTCTAGAAGTAATATCAAATTGAATACCCGAAGATATAGTTGTTTCGCTATCAACAGAATCTGAGAACCTAACAGCCTTTGGTGTAGCTTCTTCAATGGGTAATCCATCAGTTAGGCGATTGGAAAGTACGGTCTCAATCCATTGCATGCTAGCAATAAGGCTATCATTGAAATCAGTTACTAGCTCCGGTGATTGTGAGCATGTCTCCTTAATGGAGTTATCATCATTATCGCCGATACAATGCGTTAAATTCCCCATTTCTGTATCGCTAACCGCATAAACTCCCGAGCGGCGATTCCTTAATTTAGTTTTTTGACTACTAGAAGTTACAATATCTTCGTCATCATAATCATCTTCAACATCATCATCATTAACTTTGTATAATGGCTTGATTGAAATATTTCGCGTAGCACGAAATTGACCACAATTATTTAAATGCTCATTTTCTAAACGAAATAAGTTCCAAATAAACCTTCTACAATAACATAAGATTAGAATTTGTTAGTAAAGTTACATAGAACGGAAATCTTATTTCGAAAATATCTTACCGAAAAACTTCAAAAGATGCTAATATAGTTATTAGCAAGTCAGAATCTAACAAATTTAATTCACCAACTGAAACAGTTATCGTCCACGCAAAACGTAGAACCAAGTTTGCAATCATAGCCAAATAATAAAGGTACTACACGAATTAAAAATGAAGCTATTAAGTAACTATTAATAACCAAAAATTAAAGTCAGAAACGCGTCAATTTATTTATACCTTGGACGGATAGACGGTTTCTTCTCGTAGTAGTTTGTATGGACCATTTCTACGTAGTAAACCCCAATCCATGTATAGATCCCACGAATACGTGTATAGAGTGCTAGCAACCAACGACACAATCCAAACCGAAAAGAGAGGCCCTTGTGAGCTACTACCTACAATAGCAGTTTAAAATATACTTTAGTAGTTACGATAGGATTCAGTGCCAGTCTAGGTGCGCAAAATTGTTTTACCTCGGTGCAATACCGCCAAAGTTGAAAAAGTTGTAACAAGGAAGGATGTGAAATATTTACCAGCGTTTACTAAATGAGGAAATTTCTGTTTTGTGTTCTTGTATCGACGGAGACACTGAGCAAAGCGGAACCATGCTGGCAAACATGCAATTACAGGCCTAATACCATTACTTACTTCAAGGCACACATCAGGAAGAGATTCGGTAATGGTTTCGTTATTTGATTGAGTCACTTAAGCGTACATTAAAAATTGATAGAAATTACCCTTCCACCATCATACTTTCTTAATTGTACTTCAAATCGTACCAACTTACATGTATCAATTTTAGCAAGCCTACTACCCAATGTAGCGTAAAAGCAAATGCCATATTGGAGGTCTAATAACGCTACCACAAGGCTATTCAATTGATCCGCTAACCAAAAATCGGCAAATTTAACGTAGCAGAATGGCGCACGAATTATCCGGCCCTAATCATTAAAAACAGTTATAACATTCAATACTCTATACAAAATAAATAAAAATCATACATTAGATTGAAATAAAGCATTTACCAATATACGGAGTAACCACAAACGTGAGCTTTTACATCCAAAATCAAGGGGGTTGATAAGATACAATAGCATAAAACTAGTGACCCCGATGGGGAATATTAGTTGATACCCCACAGGGTGATCACTTACAGACATCATCAGAAAACCGAGAAAACCCGAAGCGCAGATCGTAAAGAGGAAAAAGCCAACCTATAAAATATAGAATAATGAATGCACAAACTAAATTTTCTGAGCTCTTATTCTCCTATAAAAAAGATCTTGCTCATGCGCGCATACCTCCATCAACTGTATACTAGTTAAGTTATTTCTAGGATCAAGTTCGAAAATTAGTACATGATTAACACCAGAGATTCGCCAAATATGAATATTTAGACCAAGTAATGTAACAGCTAGGATAAAAAGCAAATATCCACGAAATATTCTCCAAACGGGTAAAACAAAAGGATCAGACGAAGAACCGCGGAAAGGATTTACAGATGAAATTAACACTACGAAGATAAACGTTAAAATCCCTTTTACAGTTGGAATTAGAATGATGTTGAGAAAACTATTGCTATTCACCGTTATTTAATAACTATGCATATCACTGCCTATGCGGACGTACATTGGTATGTGATTATTGCCACAAGGAAGGTAGACATGCCAAACCAAGTACCGAAGCGAAACGTGGACCAGTGGGATTGCTGGAATAAGCATAAAATACGCGTATTGTAAAATTTGCTCTTCTTACTATTGAATAGCGCATTAAGGAATAACAAGGATGCAAAGAATTGATTGCAGGAAATTATTAAAAGAAATACATTGCCATATGTAGTATGAAGTACTGTACAGTGCCAATTTTAATTCAATACCGAACGTCTTTACCAGTATTTTAGTCAATTAACTTAACGTTGCTGCAACTTGAAGACATTAATTCTATAATAGCATGTACTGTAGTCTTAAGCTAAATAGCTTTAATAAAATTTCTGCGTCGACATTCAAATAATAACCTACCCGTTCGGCCAAAGGCGGCACTCGAAGCCTATTCATAGCCTTCGATCTATTACCGAAATCTAAAGCGATGGTCAGATTCTAATAAGGAGAAAAGATATTTGGATATGTATTAGATTTAATATAAATAGATAAAATTTTAATGGTATACGAAATTTCAGTAATTCATTGTATTGCTATAATAGTATGGTTACCTGTAAAAATTACAAAGAAGCAAACAAAAGATATACCTTTTTATTGCTAATGATAACGTAGTAATTTAACAACTACTGTATAAGATATAGAGATAACACAATGCACACTTGCTGTTAGTAAACCCTGATTCTTACTATAGTAAATTACACACCATTGCTATAGAATAAAATACCTCTATTTCTTCTATCATGAAAGCCACTTGCTTATTTGTATGAAAGGGTGCAGTCTCAATTTCTTGTGGGAGGAAGGTTCTTATACCATTCGTCGATAACATCATCTTAGTCATAACCATATCACATAAAGGATAAATATTAGCAGCTGAAAACTGAAAACTGCTCCGCGATGCAACAATTTTGTCATTTCATGATCTAGTATCAATCTAACCTTATCGTATTTTTTTAATATTTTTCGAAATCCGGTATGGTTTAAAGTCTGCAATCGTTATTGAAACATTTGCTAAAGATGTACTTGAGTTTGATAATCGATCAATTGAACTTAATTACATTAAGAGAGCAATGCTGCAGCAGTAGTGTACAATATATTTATTAGCACTATGGTGTATTTCGTGATTAGAGTTTTTAAGGGTATGATCCTATAATGCATATTGAACATAAACTGCAAGTATTCTATTTCGAAGCTAGGTACCATGCGACACTACAATTTATACCTGGTAATTTTGTAAGAAAGTTAAATTCAGGTAGAATTCACTTAAATTGAATCGTAGTTTATTCAACCTCCTTTTAAAAGCCATGCCTAATTTTTTGTTTAGTGGTTTTACTCGGTTGACCAATAAGCTGGTTTTAGTTTCCTTGCTGAAAGCTACAGAGGGCCGAGGGACTGCTGCACTAACAATTTTTCCTTCACGTAACTTTTTAGTACTGTTAACCAAGAAACTTTCGGCTCTTGACCTACGTGCTTCTGCAAGACATCCTATGTTGCGTAGGAATCCTTCTACTTCTATATGTAGTGTTTTAAACTTGCGTTTGCATTCGCTGATCTTTTCTAATTGCCAGAAATAATTTATAACGATATTTACAATTCAAAACTGCATCATTAAACTTCATTAAAAACATGTTTTAACGTTTTCAACTCACATTTAAAAGTACATTTTAGTACTTAGCATAATACAAGCAGTAACATCTACATTAAAATGATACTCTAAACAGTTACAGCTTTAGCTAGTTATGATCACATGCTAAATATTGCTTTGATATTATCTTAGCTAGTTCACTTTTTAAGCAGTGAATACTACCAGACGAAAAAGTGAATAAATCCGAGAATGTAATGACTTTTGATACCTGGGTAGATTTTAGCTAATATTTATAATTTCTAGCATCGCAGGTAGGTGTGTTATAGCTAAACCTGTCTAAACCCATGCACTACAGTAAATTGATAAATCACTTCGTGCTTGCCTATGGATATACGGGTATAAATATATAAATCGCTAGAAAACCGAGGAGTTTACACTGTAACACTTAAAGAAATTCTCAGTATTACCGTTACTCGACTAGAGTTAAGAAGGATGACACGAGCAATGTCACAGGATAGTATAAGTATGCAAGTAGGCATGCTATCTACAGAAAGTCTAGCATGTGTGTACCTATCGGTGCGAACTAGAGACCTTTAATTATTAATATCTTAGTTCAGTTGGGTGTTCGATGTCATGTAATACGTTGAGCAGCCTCAACTTGAATTCAGATACAAGGAAACGATCATTACTTTCATAAAATAATACCTAGTGATCGTCATACGCGAAAGCGTATTAAAAAATCACACTACGATTATGAATATACGCGTACATATAAGGATAGGATACGATACAGCTCATAATTAATGATTCTACTGTTAATATGCAACACATGTGCAGCATGCAGTAATTTCAACTCCGATAATTTCATACGTGCATCGTGAGTAAATTCATAAATGAGAAGTTAACTATTTTAAAGTAAAGTGTACCCTGTAATTAGGTTATGATTGCTTTACTGACTTCAATAGATACTAAGGCACGTCATCCATTCCTAACCTAAAAAAAAGTCGTTGACTCTTTCCAATTCTTCGCTACATAATGCAAAAAATTTTCCTTCAAATTTAACTAGGTACTCCTCCATGACTTGTTCCACGTTGCCATCTTCATTTTTTATTGGACGTTCGTTATATCCGTAATAGATCATCTGCTTTAATTTCTATAATAATACAGCAAGTATAAATCAGATAAAACAGATGAACCTTTACAGAACACCGATGCACCAAATACTTCATATTCCACGAGATATTTGGAAATTATAGCACAGTAAAAATTCTATTTTTTTTACGTAAGTATATTACCAAAACAATAAAAACAATCTCAACATGTAGTACGCTTATTTATCACCTTATAATTTATATACTGTTTGCGCCATTCAGGCGTTAAGTTAGCCGCTAGATAGGCTGAAAACTTCATCTTACTAATTTCAATGCTACTCTGTTCTATCTTTGCACGATACAATTACAGTGTTAGGTTTGATTCTTGCGCCATATTTCAAGTAAATTTCTTCGTACACCCACTGAAATGTAGCCTGCCAAGATTTATTTGCTCATATAGATCATCAAGGTATTGGACCGAACCGAACCTTTCTCAGGTCTAATTTACTGCATCAATCAGATCCCTCAATTGATTCATACATGTACTGTACTTTTCTAGGAGCACAAAGCCCAGGAACTGTACCATACCGTACATAGTACAGTATAGTACTCGCACTGAGATTCAGATTTTATTTATGCTGACATATGAGTAAAACAGATGTCGTAGATTGAGCTGTAGCTTAGATATCTTATTTGACATCTGTTTTACGCAGTTTTGTTTACTATGGCATCAAAGAGGTTTGTACTGTACTTTACAGTACTTTGTAGTCTGTGTTTTGTTGTATACATACTGTACACTGTAGACTACCAGATTCTTCCGCCTAGTCTTGCCACGGCCAGTGCCAGTCCAGTGTTCAAAACTAGTACCGGGAATTACTTACTGTGCCGTACCATCTGACTCAGTAGTTTCCCTGTTTTTTTTTATTATTACAGGAAGTTAGTTGCGATTTTGCTGATTGCGGAATAAACTAACAATTAAATACTATGCATAAATTTAGTAATAAGTTCGATTAATTTTTATTCCCAGTTAATAATTATTTTCCTTATTTTTATCAACTGGCTTTGATCGTACAGAGATCAGTATTTGATGAAGTATGGAGTGATGCGCCCCATATTTGATTATAATTAATAGGCTATATTTGACATAGTTAGGTTAGTAAGAATAGATATTATTATCATAAAGCTAATATTAGATGATTAATAACTACTATATTAGAAATTATTGATGAGTAATGCTAGCCAGTTGACTAATTATGATACAAGATATATGTGACATGACATACTGTAATTGCGAAGATACCCTATACCAAAAGGTGCTGGATATTAATGGAAGAGTAGTGATATCTTAAGTAGAATGATTCGGGTTATAGAGGATAATGATATCCTATTTAAGAAAAAATATTCTGTTTGATGACTCTAATCTTACTGTGCTCGTAGATTAATTAAGTTGTCATAAATGGATTTAGCGAAATGTATTGAACAACTGCGGAGATGAGCTCACAAGGAGTGAAGAGATTTCACTTCGCTTTGAGCTCGGAATACTTTAAATTTTAGATTAGATTCTTGTAATTATTGCTCTACTATTCGTAAAGCCTTGTAATAAAAACCTTTTTAGAAATACCATTTGAATAAGACAATTATTGTGAGACACTTTAATTACCAGTGTTAAACGTCTGTACCGTACTTTTTTTGCAGACTGCTTGGTAAACTGATAAAGCCTGTGCGTAGTAAAGTCTCTAGATGATTTGTAACATACTGTATTAAGTTTTACAACGATCAAATTCAGCAAATTTAACAGGTGGCACAGTTCTTAAAGTAACATATGTTTTAGTCTATCTTTCAGTTCATAGTATTCTATACGAAAAAATTCATACGTCCTGATTATCCTCATTTTACATACGTTTAAAAGAATGAACTAATTAACTATAAGCAAGATAGGGAATGATACCGCTCGACACTCATAGACAATTGGACAGTATAATGCAATGCAGATCTTTTTAAACTTATAATCCTTACCGCTCGTTTCGCCCGGGGAGGTAAATAAATTATTTAAAATGATAGATTGCATAGTCCACTTAGGCTTGGACTACTAGAAGAAGCCTATGACCTAGTCCATACTACAGTATAGAGGTAGAAGGAAACCTCTATGGTCCATACTGTTGGCTTACCAGTACGTACCATTACTGCATTAGTTGCTCAAGTACAGTAAAATATCCAGTAATATTTTTGACTAACTGAAAAAATTGAAAGTTTTCGTTCTGATGATACCATAGAGAAAATAAAAAAAATTTTTATAAGCAAGATTAAGTACACGATCTAAAATACTTCATTAAGAAGTTCTTAGTAATCATATCAAAAGTATCACGCGGTGCATACAGAAAGTACCGTATTTTATTTTTTATTTTACTTTATTTTCCTAATCGTCTGAGCAGTACTGGCTCAAGGAGAACTTTTAAGACGAAATTTACCAATCTCTTTATGCGATCATATTTTTTGCGAAGGAAGTTACGCTCATCGTAGCAGATAGGAATACCATGGCTGAAGAACGATTAAAAAAGCAATTATTTGATGGAATAAGAAATAACGATCTATATAGTATTCAAAAGGCGTTAAATAATGGAGCTAAGATTGATATGACCTTATCACATTCTGATAAGAAAGCTGCAGACTATGCGATTGAGCTGGGCAAGGAAGATGCGGTCATGTTGCTAATTGCAAATGGAGCGAAACCAGACATGAATAAGTATCAACAAATGCTGCATTATTTTCTCGATAAGTTGGCTATCAACCGTTTAAAAGACATAAAAGAAGCGTTAACAGCGATTGCGAATTATGTAAAACAGAAAGTCTTTCGGGTAGTGTTCTATGAATCGTGTCTACAAGATAATTTATTAGATAAACTATTTAACATACTGACTTTATACACTGATTCCTGTGGGGCTGATATTTTCTCTGTATTGGCGTATGCTACTAAAGATACAGATATTTGCGCATTTATTCGTCCGTTAAAGTATTTTGATAAAATTTTTTTCTATGCTACCTGTAAAGATTTCGCTAAAGAAATGCGAATTCCGGCAATCTTAGCTATCGTAAACTTGAGCATAGATGAAGAAACCGAGATTAAACTAGTTAATGGTAACATTGTTGAAATATTAACACTGTTACTGACAGAATCGCATACAGTACCATTTTTTACATCTGTAAGTGAACAAAATGAGAGCATTCTAAGAGCTTTATGTGATTTATCTGTCGGTGAAATTGCTCTGAAGCATTTTGAAGAGGCCGGTATTGTTAACCTTTTGCTTAATACTCTGCAATCAGAACAAAGTTCTATTAAAGTTAAGGAATCCGCTGTTAAAATTTTATGGAATTATCTATTTCATGACTCCGTTAAACTGCAAGTACAGCGAACGACTGTTATTAACATCTTGCAACAAGTCGAAGAGAAATTCGCAGATTATGTTGTTTCAGGTTGTTTGGAGGGAGCTTTATGGTTATTGGGTGCGCCTGTTGATATAGAGCCTTACATTCCGTTGACGATATTGGCTAAAAACTTGGAAAGTGGCGCAAGTGATGGTCTAATTAGTCATAGCTCACAATTTCAGATATGGATTAGTTATCATCAAAATGATCTTGCAATAGCAATAAAAATCCGCTCATATTTGAAATATGCTGGATTCCGAGCATTTATTGATATTGATCGAAATACTAATGTTAAAAATGAATTTAACCTAAAATCCATTGCTAAAAATATAGATGAATCCAATATTGTTGTTGTATGTCTCTCACACAAATACAAGCAATCTCCATATTGTCACAGCCAGGCTCATTTTGCCGTTCAGAAAAAGAAGAAAGTTATTCCAATATTATTGCAAGCTAATTATAATTTACATGGGTGGCTTGGTGATCTATTCGGTTCTATACCAATATTGGATTTCAGTGACGGGAATGATATCGATAATAACATGAAAAGCTTAAAACAAGAAGTGATTCGGAGTAGCGGCGATCGCGATCAATTGTATAAGAATTACGCAGTCAGTAATAGTTCCAGCTTAAATAGATGGGACTCTGATAGCTCATTACCCCGTGAATACAGTGAGTCTGTGATCACTAATGATGTTAGTGAACGGTCAACCTTCATGCTGACACCAAGCTCGTCGCTTTCTACAGTCACTGCAGTGGATGACGTCCGGTTGAACTATACAAATAAACTTTCGAAATTAGGATCTGTTTATCCTAATGATCGATCATTTAGAGTATCATCGGCGACATCTAGTGCCCGTAATTACATAGATTGGAATGTTGAAAATGTAGGTCTTTGGTTAAATTCAATCGGACTAGGCTCGTATCGAGAAATGTTTAGAAATCAACAAGTATGCGGAAGTTCTCTTGAACAATTATTGCGAATAAGTCTAGATCCTATCCACATCGAATACTTACATAGACTCTTGGAAAGTAAATTAGGAATAGTAAAATTTGGTGATGTTTTAAAATTTATTACAGAATTGCAAAAGTTATCAAGCCGATGATTTGCAATAAAACAAGTCCAAGCCGCCTAATAGCCTAAAATATCTTTAATGAAGATAATAAATTTTTTGCAAGTCTGTTAATTTAAGTTAATCATGATCGCATGTAATATACAATATATCCGTAACCAGCAATGCGATTTAGCTCATTATCTTACTGTATATGCAGTTAAACTATAGAATAGAGATTGGCCAGTTAATCACTTTAATCAATTTTCAATTTATAATACTGCGTACTTAAACATTTGTTTACAGTGAAATTCGCTATCGATATAAAATTGATTTGAAACAGTGGCTTAATTTCTGTTTGCTATTCGAATATAATTGTTCTTGTGGTCCAGCTGAACTGCCTTATTGCGGTTTTTTATACATTTACATCACTTTTGCGGAAATAATTTCACATTTGCTCAATAGCAACCCTAGCCAGGAATCCATTCAGTTTCTGGAACAATGTTTTTTGAAGTCATTATCTCTATACTATCCTTTGGGAATATAACCATTATGCAATTAAAACAAACTAACGAATCAAGAGCATTATGTTGCGGATATGTAAGATTAAATAACAATTGTTAATGCTATAAAATAGCATACAAGGGATAGTCGAATTTAATTTATAGGTATTTTAAAAGCAGTAAGATATTGCAGTCGTAACATGATTTATTAGATTAGATATAGCGCTATAAGTATTTACATTATATTTTATATGTCTATTTAAGTACTGAGAATAAAATTATTAAAATTATTAAAATTATAATTAACACAATAAGGATGCAGGTTTGTTTCTTGTCTACGAAAAAAGAAAGCAAATAAGGATTTTCTGGCAGCTATCTAAGTAACTATTAAAAATTTATGTAGTGCTTCATCATGTTCTTACCGCCGGATAATTTTAATACTTTTTCAATTTTAATTAACGATCTATCTAATCGGGATTTAGTGTCGGTCATTTCTTGATCAAAGTCCTCCAAAAGACTGTTGTTGATCGAATGTTGAAAAATTTTATGTTAGGAATACACGTACATTTACAAACGTACCAAGTTGCTCTCTGTTGAACCTATAAATTGACTTACGCAGCTTGCTCAGTTAGTTCACCATCGATGTGCTGGCCCATCTGCTTCAGGACTCCAACACTTTTGCTAATCATTTCAATTTGATCATCTTGTTGTCTAAATAATTGCTGAAGTATTATTGATCATGATCAGAGACTACCTTCCTTTGTTCATCATAAAATAATCGTAATTTAAGTGTTATAGAACCTGCTGCTGTTTTTGATTTTCTTCTATGAAATTTTGATTTGATTGCTCAATTTCCTTATCTAGTCGGGTGTATCTATCTTGATGCCTACCTTTACTACCGAGCAAAGCCTAACAATATTTCAAGAAGCACTTAAAAATAAATCACTATTGAGAAAGTGAAAATTAACTACAACTCTACCTCTCTTTCATGTTTTTCCTTTTTGGCTCTTCTAGATGTACTTGTTAACTCTTCCTTTATTTCCTATTCAAAGATAATAAATACAAAAATGAGTGCTTTAAAATGATTCAAGCTTATTGAAGTTGAGATATGCATATCAGTAATAGCTACAGTATTACATACCTTAATGGTTTTCTTCGTTCGCGAGATAAAGGATTTCCTTTCGTTTATCTCTAAATCATCTATTCTAAACTTACTTGGATTCGATTCTACTATAGGTACAGTCAGGTTAAGGATAATAGTGTACGTATATATATATATATAATTCTACAATAGAGATATTACATGCGCTTATCTACGGCTTATTTAACCCTAATGGCATATTCGACTTAAAATCTATTGTCATTTGATTATGAAAAGTATAAAAGTATGGGATATTAATAGTCTCTTCAAGATCTTCTAAATCCCATTCCATGCTTCTAATATTATTCTTTAATTCATTGGTTGTCCAAGTAAAGTCTTCTTTGCTGGTATTTCGACCATCCTCTGAAAGTTCACGCCATTTTTTATGCAGAACAGTGGTGTTATTTAAATTCTTTTGTACTTCCCTAGATCACAACAGATGTAATACAACAACTAAAAAATGATATTATACATTTATGTTATCATACTGTAGTAAAGGAAAATTTTACATTTACTAGTATTACGATTTACTATAAGTGCTCGAATTAGCAATAGTACCACAACAACACGTTGTAACGTAAGTTGTGATTTTCGATGGGATACTTTCATAATCTATCACTGATCTTTTCCGATAAAGCGATTGATTTCTTAATCACTAATACCGTAATTTAAGACTTGTGGTCTATAAATTTACAAGTAGAGATTGCTTGCTCGATACTCTGTTGTTCTACAGGACTAAACAGTAACTACACGTACTATCAATGTTCATGAGTGATGTATGCTCAGTAATGCTCCCGATTGAGCAGCCCAATGTATATGAATAGTATTATAGTTCGCTGCGAAATACGGCACAGTAACAGCCCTAAGCAAATACGAAAAACATTTACAAAACCGCTACGGCATAAATAAATTACGTTATTAAATGTATAGGTTACTATTGTATAGTACAGCTTACTATAAACCAGACTGCATCACTTTTTACATAGTGTGCAATGAGTAGGGTGTCAGTGTGACTGGTTTCCAGTCTTTCCAAACGGCATCGATTAATTATTGATCAATATTTTTCTTTCATGAACTGTTATTTCTAGTTATTACATTTAGAGAATACTTTATAATCAACCAGGTAACATCACCATCTTAGGTCAGGCCGTCACAATTTATTATATGCTGTATATTGTATTACATACTGTACTTTCATATGTAAGAAAAGCTTTAAATTTTAACCTCCAGCTACGTGCATGTCTGGCAACTATAATCGTAAGCAATCCAATCGATCGATTATTGTATAGTAGATCATGCTTAAACTTCATGTAAATAGGTCTACAGCCTTCATTTACATTCGTAAAACGCAATCTACAGTACGTTCTATACACGCAGCAGCTATAGCCTACAGTATAACTTAGCACTAATAAATGCCTACTCCTTCGTGAAATTCGAGTTGCAATATGTAGTGTATTATACTGTATGTAAGAGTACTGTACATTATATCATGCAATTACTATCAAGTATTCTTTCAAAGAAACGATACTAAAAATCTCCATTTTCTTATTTTTGAAAGTGTTAAATCAATCTCTGCTATACCGTATAGTACAGTAATTATTTAATTACTGAACCCATAAATGTACTCAGTTTACTGTACCGTACGGTACCACGTATAGTATTGTACAATACACCTCTAGGTAGTAACTAGCACACTGTATTATTAAGTACTGTACTGTAATGAATCTAACAACAGGAGTACAGAACTAAAAAAATGAATTTGCCAAATCTCAAGTCACTGTTGCTATAACTTAATTTACATGTACGCCTAAAATTGATTAGGTATGTTATCTTCACTTACTGTACGAGTTAACATATTTTCGTAGATAGTAGATAGTATACTCGTGTGTCTGGTAAATCTACAATAGTAATCCCTGCTACTGTACATGTACAGTAGTGTACTGTATTTTGAAAAGGATTGCATTCGATTTACTGTACTGTACTGTACTGTACTTTGTGAAATGATGAGAAGTTACTGCATTTGCGATGCTAGCCATCAGTGATGGTTTGATATAGGCTAATAACGGTATATCTTAAGGCAGTATCTATGACTGTGATAGATGAAGGAAGCTGTTACTAGCAGTCTTAACTTCCGGTAGAATATGATAGTTTTAATATTCATGTATAATAGTTATATAATCATTATGAATTAGATGGAGCAATAAAAGCTAAAAGCTATTGCTACAGTATACGTACTATATAGTGGCAGCAATGGACATGATAACCGTACTGAATTTATGATAGAGTATATCGTACAGTATAAAGGAAATCCGCTGCTAGTATCAAGTAATGCTATTAAGCAATTTATATGGTATTTTAACATCAATACCGACATCTTCAGTAGCTAAAATGGTCTACGAAACCCAATATTAGAAATCATTAAAGAGTATAATTATACTTACAGTATTTTACGATCGAAAGGTAAAATCTAATTTCAACTTAATACTGACAAATCTCGAGCATTCTTAAAGATGATAGTACATTCATGCTCACATACTTCGAATTCTACTTACGTTTTAACGACGAAAAACGGATCTTCTATCGACATAATGCTGCCAAGTTGAATGATTTATTATTTAATAATAATTATAATAATTGATATACAGTACTACTACACTATTAGCGTAACTAATGGATAGAATTTATTTTACTTTAACCGTAATGTAAAACTGCAAACACTCTGTGATCATATACTGCAGGGACTACTGTTATAACTATAGGTAAGTACTGATCTAAAGGCGAAATCAGACTCACTAACAAAACATACAGTATACAGTACTACAAGTTAAATTATAAAAATTATACACGCTTCCATTGTAGTAGTACTGTACAGTACAGAGTACAGTATACACAGTGAGTCAGTCGCATATGTTATCGATATATCACTTTTCGGCTGCCATCTGCACGAAACATTAACAGCAACAGTATTTCCAATATCAATGCAGTCGTACTGGAGTGTGCTGTACTGTACAGTATAATGTACTGTACAGTACAGTACTGTACGCTTATTTACAGTACACAGTACGTACTGTACTGTACAGTACTGTACAGTACAGTACAGTACAGTACAGTAACGAGAAAGAGAAAGGGGATCTTCTCCAAGTATTGTAAGGTCGTGTGTAAAAACTTTGCCAACTACTGTACGGTACGAATCACAGGTTCTCTGTACACTACAGTAGTACAGTACAGTATGATGTCATACCTAATCACATCCAGTACTGTACATGCGCAATGAGTCACTAGATTCTACAGTACATTCTACTGTAATGTACACTCACACAGTGCACGGTATGACAGCAGTTCTTGGTCTGATTAGCAGAGCTATCGTTATTATGACTTCTCTGATTAATTATATAATTGCTGTAATGAGACTAATGTTGTAGACATAAGATTAGGTAACGTAGTCGATAAAATTAGCCTTATTTTAGATTTTACCAATCTGTAAGTTATAGCTATACGCTCTAGGGAGCAAAATTACTTCCTGTAATATTGGACGTTTTGCTTATACTGTACAGTACTGTAAATACTGATACAGTACAGTACAGTACAGTGTACAGTACAGTATAATACTGTACAGTACTGTACTGTACACTGTAGTGTACTGTGCAGTGTGCAGTAGTGATTAAGTTACACAAGATTGTAAAAGCTATAAGCTATTTCGGAATACTGTACAGTATTACTGTACTGTAGGTTGCAATGACAACTGGAAAGAAAACCTGATTTCCATCTCTGTTCATCAAAATAAAGTAGAGGTGTAGCAACGAATCACTTTCACTACCAATCATTTGCTAAAGGTAATCAATGATACTTCCAATAACATGCATGATACGTATAATTAATTAATTGGAAATTGTACTGAATTGGATATGTTAAATTAAATTTACTTGAAGACATGCGAAGAGAATATCATACCTATACGTAATTTTGAGCTAAAATTACAAGCAGTGGTGCAGCAGTGGTAGGTATGATTGCACAAAGAGGAGATCGGTTTTGTCCAGATAAAAGTATAGACCATAAATTAAACAAACTTGGTGACACTGATTCAAGCATGATTGCAAACAATTCATCTCATGATAATCTCCCAGCTTCAACAAGTGGTAACTCACTTGCAGATGATATACGAGTATACAATACTAAAGGGCAAGAATTAGAATTAGCGTATCTTGAATCTCAGGATGATGATGGCAGTAACGATAACGATGATGGACTGATTATTGATGTTGGAGGTGCTGAAGATGAGAAATTTCATTTAGACAATGAAAATCAAACGAAATCAATACAGAATTATGATCATGGAAGTGATGTTGGGATTAAACGGGACTATGAACAACTTCTCGGGAATTGTAATGAGTGTTCGTTATCTTTACTGGGAGCATGTTACGATAAGATGGAAGAAAAAGACAAGCACTATGACGTTGACATTGAAGGCCGATTCTTTTATGAATCTGATCACTTAGCGTTGAAAAATAACGAAGAGTAAGTAGAAATGCGAACAGAAAACGATCATGCGCCAGTGATGATTTAGACGAAAGGTGTCTTTTGTTATTATGCTATATAGATTATACTTAGTTGCTGTAACAATAATATTGTACATACGCGTAATTACAAAGTGATCGAACATCTCCATACGGAATTTCTAGAAATTGATAATACGATACACGGTTGAAAACTAGCACTATAATTTGTAATGATCAACAGTTTAAAATTACATGTGTTAACAATAGATAATTACTGGAATTTTTAACCAGCACCTCAAGACAGTTGCATTTATGTACACGTGCTATACGAATTATATGCATGCTTCTTAGGTATTGCCCTAAGCCGTTAAATCTTATTTTGAACGTATGAATGTTATGAATCTGGATATTATTACGTATTCTTAGTATCAGTTAAAAATTCGTACATATTTTCGTATCTTTTCTAGCTACCAATTATTACTTCGTACACTTGCTATTTTAGAATCTCAAAGGGCGCAGGCATGTCAGGTAAATGATGTAGCATTGAATATATCGGATGATACTGTTATATTGAGCTACGCTATATTGTTATTGTAATACATTGAATTATAATTATAAATATAATATGATCATTTCATATTCAGTAAGCATATAAATATTCTGTCCCGTAATTTTTCTTCACGACTGTGTGCTCAAGAGTACTTGCTTACAATTATATAATACGGTAATGTTGATTTACTTTGAGAAAATTATCTTGAAAGTGCATACAGCGTAATGTAAGATGACATTAGTGATGCCACTCGAGTTGTTTTAGGTATTCTTTAAGTATCCTACAAGGATAAATTGTTACTGAAACCCATTCGGTAATTATATATATATTCAGCTTATCTTACGTAAGAATAGGTAGGCTAAGTCAGAGACTACCCATAAAGTATAAAGCTTACTTTTATCAAGTAGTCTCGGTTAAGTTGGCTATATTCATAGTTTATTACCTGTGAATGACTGATTACAGCATTTTAAGCTGCGACTGATACTGTCCTATAAAGTAATTAAGATTGAATCAAAATTAAAGTGTTTATTATTGATTTAATAGGATATTTGCGAATTAATTAAAATTAGAAAAGATGCTCTCAATGATCCCGTTGCGTTCGTGAAGAAATTACAAATGGATGTAAGTGTATTATATATGTATTGTTCATTGCACTCTGTTTGCTGTGTTATAATAAAAATTAAGGACACCGAAAATGTATGCTGATAAGCTATTGGGATCTAGCTGACAGCATTACAATTTCGTGGTGATAAGAAGTTGTTATCGTTCTTCTTATATATTTTTGTCGCTTAAATTAACTATTTGAGTAGAAAGACCTTGGTATGCCGCGGTTGCAAGCTGTATTGCAAATTCCTACTATTAAGTGGGACGAATATACGAAGGCTTTATCGACTCTAAGTCAAAGCGAGAACGATAGATTACTTAAGCGCCATTCAGCTCGATCCACACCGCTAAAAGGTAAAGGTTCTTGTATAGTATCTAACCGCTAATTTACTAAATTGATAAAAGAATACATAGCACTCTATCCCTAATTTAATTGTAATAACTTTTATATAATTAATTTAAAATCCCTGAATACAATATTTCATATTGAAGAGTGATATGATGCAATTTTAATCCCCATCTATTTATCTTATTTGATGAATCTAGATCACAATCTGCAACCGTTGATCGATGCTAGTCAACCAGAGTTGTCTTCGAATGCCTATAAAGAGTGTGTGAATATTCTGAATAAGAACAATTAGTAGCTTTATGTCATGCTTAAATTGTTTATAATATTAGGTTGTCATCTTCTGATTCGTCGCTTCTCCCGAGATATATGGTATTTATAATTGTGATATTTGTGTTGATGAATATCGGTATCTGAGAAGTAACAGAGATTTAGATAATTTTACAATTGTTTGCATCTATTATGCAGTATCCTATAGCTGGTGCGATCGTGAGGGGGCGAATTTATGATGAAACGAAACCCTCTTCTTTTAATCAGTTATGGTCTCCAGAGGAACAAGTTAGTATTTAATGCTTTCCATTATCTGATTTATGTCAACTAAATTAAAAAAGTGTGATGGTCTGATTTATCGTATATATAGTATGTGATGGTAATGATTTCTTTAGTTAAGACTAGAGAAACTTCTTGAAGTATTTCCAAGTGAAGAAATTGAATCTAGACGATGGGAAAAAATTGCAAATGCTCTCGGAAATAGAACACCAAAACAGGTTGGTATATATCGGATCGATGCTAAAGATATACAAGTGCTCCACTATCTTAGGCCTACATCAATAATTAGGATATGATTATATGAACGTATTTCTTTGTCATGACCTGTATTAACTAGTAGTTGCAGATATGTTGCCTTTTTCGTAAAATCTACATTCATATTATCAAAAGGATTATGATCAAGATGAATTGTGTAAGTTAAAATGGTGTTTTTTAAAATGACGGAAAATAGGTTGCAAGTCGAGTTCAAAAATACTTTATTAGATTAGCTAAGCTTGGCTTACCCATACCTGGGCGAGTACCGAATATGCCATTTTATAAGAAGGTAAATTTGTGACTAAAGTTATATCCTATGAATTTATTAGCCTATTACTTGCGCTACTGACTAAGCCTGACACTTGGAATGTCGTAGGGGACAAAAAAATTAACCGATAATCCGGCTAATTACCAACCTTTCTGTCGACCATCTGTTTATATGGCGGAAAATGATAAAGACATTAGTTGCAGCGCAGATTCTAAGCGTTCATTATCCACAAGTGAAACTGTATCTGTTAGTTGATACTTAGTTTTTGTATTATGTAATAGCTAATCTCGTGCTGTATGCATTTAACAACGTCTACTAATTCTTAGGATGATGAAGAAATCGACTTTACCCTGAAAAATAGTGACGAGTACAAACAATTAATCAGGTTAAAGAAAATTAAGAAGATGCAAACTACTGTTAGAAAAGTACAACATCATGGATATCAGGTAATTCTATACATTATTCGTACACCATTGCAATGTGGGTGTTAACGAAGCTGCGATTTGATCACTAGAAGAATTTAATTATATTGTTTCTAGTGTGATCGCTGTGGGATGGAGCCCATTTTAGGACCTAGGTTTCACTGTAAAGATTGTCCAGCTGACGATTCCGTTGACTTTTGTAAAGACTGTGTTATTAGGTATAAAATTTCTCTTCAGATTATCTTTGCATTAATTAATTTACTTATTCGATGATTTTCGTACTTCAAACATTATTTAGTCCTATGGAAATCAGATTGCATAAACTAAATCATGAATTGCAAGTGTTCAATCGCCCGTTCTATGTTGACGACGATTATATTGGATATACTGGAGGAAGTGGACATGTTGAACAATCAACCGGATACACTACAGGCTATAGTTACTTAGATCCAAATTATATACCAAATGATTAGTATTTTTTTCATATTAGTCATTTATGCTATTTGAAATATACAGTGGGTTTCTCTGATTTCTTTTCTTCATCAAACTAGATTTGATTATAAGTTACAGCTGCTTTGATCATAACAATGCTGGAATAGCTGCAATCGGTATCTATGTATGCTGTTAATTAAACATACGGTAAGCAGTAGTAACGCTATGATGATATTAAATTACAGACGGAGTTGATATTAGCATTATAGAATAACATCAGAGGAGCTTATGCTACACATGTGAGCGTAAAATTTAAGTCTTAATTTGTACCTATATATAATAAGTATTTCTAAAATTTTATTAAGCAACATAATCGTTCTAAATCAGTAATCTTTTTACTGTAGATAAATAGATTTAAAATTTAGAAATTGTCGAGAGAGAAATACGAGTATTTATGCTAATAGTAGACTCCTATTAATAATTAATTAATATGTCATGTTACTGTAATATCGCTCGCTATTCACTTTTAGCCAAATTTTTAATTATATTTTGAATATATTAAATAAATATAAATATTTGTACTTATAGCAATTAATCTGATCTTTAAGAAGGTTTCAAACGTTTTCACCTTTGCTGAAGTTATGCACTGTATTGAATAAGTATTCGGAAAATTTATTAGCCATAAAAATATTCATAAACTACATTATAAGTATCTTGTATCTATTAAATCATATATTTTGTTTACAATCATTAAAATACCGTTTGCGTCTGTAATCAGTTCTCTACGTATTTATACTTTTAAACTACGAATATTACTTGTTGGTATGATTACAAACTAAGTTTACAAAAGATAGTACTTTATTGAGTGCAATAATAAAACTGAACTGAAGATGAACTAAACTATCTGAGAAATTTAATCTTTTAGCATGATCCTAATTTAGACCTCATAACTCGTAATAGTCATGTTAGACACTGAGAAGTAATGTAGACTACAATACAGTAATATTAGCATCATCCCTATGATGACAGCTATTAGCAACAATATTTTGTTATGATATTAATTCGCGATATGCAGTACTAATCCTATAAATGGCATTTAATACATTGGTTGCTTGATCCAATGATTAAAGTGTGTGTATCTGCATGTAAGTTTTGATATTCTACCTATGTCTTTGATTTACTTTGTAGTCTTAGTATTAATCAATAGTGATGCATGCAGACTTTGATAAACTAGTAGCATATACAGAAATGAAAAAGATCTCTGAAATTCTTTTACATCTTGTATTTGAACCTTAACTGATAGGAATAAGCATCCAGGAGTAAGAACATCTATATACGATGAAATTGCAATTATCATTGTCACAACAATTACAATTAGTCAACACTAAGGTTTGACTACAAAACATACAATAAATAACAGTAAAAATTTTAACAACTCGCTATAAACCAACTTCAAATATGAACTCATAAAAGGATTTCATAGTAGAAGTAAAACTTTCCGTACGATGTAAGTAGTAAAATAATCATTTTCGTATAGTTTGCAAAATTGCAAATTAGTAAATTCATTCACTAAACCGTAATATGAAAGTTTTACTAGCAGCTATTACCTAATTAACTCCAAATAATTTAGAGAATCAATAAATGTCTTTTACTATATTACAATACACTATGATAATTAATGGTCTTGACATTTCATAACTAAAGAACACTCATTACGTTCTTCGATTTACAAACGCTTATCGCACGAACATACTGTAGTAAGCTGTACAGTAGATATTCAAAGGCTTTAGTTAAATAATTACTATAGTAAATACATCGACCATTTAATACCAGAAAATACACTAAGAACATTAGCTAACTTATGAGAATAGCAGTTTATGGCCGTTAACAGTGAGTCGATATGAATCGACAGTAATCCTGATCGAGATATTTCAAAAAAGGTAAAATTTATTTTATATATTTAGGAATTTAATTTAGCTCTTTTGATAGTCCAAGCTTCTTCATTCTCTGATGGATTCAGTTCAGAAATAGAAGATATTCTCTCATCGTTTTTTCTCTTCAATGTATGTAGTAACTTTTCTTCATCAATGTCACTATTTTCTTCTTCAGTATTAGTTTCATCTTCGCTTTCTTCACTGGGTTCAGACTTATCTGCGTTAGTTATTGTAAAATGATGGTGCTATTAGTAAGTATAATATAATTGGCAAAAGTGATAAATTCTAGGCAGTACGAGCATAAATGGCGGTGATGTTCTATCGCTAATTGTGACTACAGCTACCTGGAAGTAGATATTGTGTAAATACTGTCCGCTCACCATTTGAGATAAAGTATAGCAGACAGGTCACTACTAGTCTACATGTCTAAAGTTATCAACAAGGTGAATCACTCTTTACTCACTATCTCGGATATCATCTTGAATCTTAGAAAACTTTAGAATGACTTCTTTTTCTCTTTCTTGGCCAATTTTCAAACTCTTATCTAGATCTTCTTTCAGAGTTGGATTGTTAATGGCAGGGTCTTGCTCATTAGGTTTAAGGTGATGTCTTATCTCCAGATTTAATTCTTCCAAGCGTCTTTTGCGTATTTTATGACAAACCTCACGGAATGCCTCCTTTGCTATATCGTCATGCTGTCGCTGCGTTAGCCCTAATTTATATTTCCGATTGGCAGAGGTAACAATATCTTTGATATCAACAAAATCAGGCATACATAATGATTGCACTAATAGTGCTTGTTGCTTTCTATGTTTAGCTCTGCTTTTTATGGTACTGTTGTGGTTACGATAGTATTGTGCCTTCAAAAATTTAGTCACCTCCTTATTAATATCACGATAACGGGTATTGCAAAACTGACGAAATGGTGGTTCTAATACAGAACGACTTCGAACTAGCTTATTAATTTTTTCTACGATAGCAACACTTTTCTTTTTCAATTTAGAAATAAGTATGTATATACTCCCACTATTATCTAAATCTTCAAGCGACATATCATCGTATTCATGCTTGTTTATCAATTTGTTATATTTCCTTAAATCCGTTTCATATTTTTTTAATTTCTGTAGTGTCTGATCATCAAGGAGTTCTTTCCATTCTACATTTAAATCAGAGCCACATTCAGGTAACTGATCACTTTGAATGTTGTTATCGCCATCATTTAGCGTAGTATTAGGTGGCAAAGTTTCATTAACTTCTGTAGATCTGGTTGTAACATTACCGCTAGCACTCGAAGATGACGATGAAGGACATACATAACTTGACGAAAGCTTCAACTTTTCACTAGGATCGTTAGTGTTGATCGCGGTATTCGCTCGTAAATGCGAGGTATCTGGTTTAATAATATGGCTTTCTGACCTCGAACCTGAAACATCATTTGGCTGCTGGATCAATGTTGATCGTGGTTGGCTATCTAATTCATCCGAACTACTACTAATGAAGATCACGTCACTTTCCATTTTGAGCGCTTGCAAAATGCTGCAATCTTCTAATTAGACAGCTTCGACACTCTTTTAACCTTGACAGTCCTGGTCGTAGAGATGACTGTTTTAGTGACTCTCGCCAGGTGTACTGTACTGTACTGTACTGTACTGTACTGTACACTCAGTGTACTGTACAGTATGTTCCAGAGTTGTTACAGCCTACAGGTATCTCTACAGTACATTGTGGGACTCTACACTGTAGAATTTGCACTCTGCTGTACTGTACAGTACTGTACAGTACTGTACTGTACAGTACAGTACTGTATCTTGGTGGCTCTGGTTATACTGTACTGTACAGTACTGTAAAATACTGTACAGTACTGTAAAATACTGTACAGTACTGTACTCTACAGTACTCTACAGTACTGTATGGTAACGAATGTGTTAGTACTGTAAATTGAGATTTATTTACATGTGTATTTACTGTTTATTTGTCATTATACTGTATATAAATCTGTAGCTCTCATTTGATTTCGATTTTGATTTTACAGTTAATTAATCGATTTTTTATAGTCTTTCGGTAAATAATATAAGGAATAATATAATATGTATGCTGGAAATGGTACAGGAACAGCACGATGCAATACAGTAAAGATAAAAATCACTGTACATTTATGAATGAACTTAAAATTGTCGCTTATTTACTGCAATGTTACGATTCATCATTAATCGTTTTTTTATTTATTTAGCTTAGAGAGCAAAATTGCACTTTGGAAACTACAGTACAGTAAAATCCACTTCACTTTTTATACTGTACACTTGATTTACAGTATTAAGTTTAGTACGAACGTGTAAAGTACATTATGATCCGACATCTTTTCTAGTATATTTAACTTATCTAGAAGTGCACTGACAACGGGCGATTCGATTCGGAAGTCGACTTCGAGCCGAGCTCAATAAAAGCGTAGGGATACCTATAACAATTTACTGATCAAGTCCAATCTTCAACAATTTTATACTTTAACCCCTTGTTTATGATCTGTTGTGAAGAACGTGTGTTATCTCCTGATCTGTTTATGTTCCTGCATTTCTCTTTTTATTAACCGACAACAAGATTTTTAATTTTCCGAATTATTAAAATGATTTCAACACACCAGTAAAAGCGATTTCCCAAAATGTAAATATTGCACGATGCTGTAAATCAATACTACACACTGTTCAGCGTAAAAGGTGTTGTATGTGCTGTATACTATAAGCCATGACCGTTCAGTCAATCACGCCGTTGTGATGCGCTGCTTTAGAAGTTTTGATTTCAGAAACCTAATTTCTGGCTAAATTCCCATTCTAAACTTACCAAATATTGTATACAGTAATTACTGTAGGCTGTAGTTATTGTCCATAACAATTTTCAGATAAGTTGAAAGTATATACGCGTATCCATCAGTTTCGCGTATTACACTACAATGTAAATAGCTTTTAGCTAAAGGTTCTCTCATATTTTGTCAGTTATGTAAATATACTCGTGTTGATTTAGTAACACGTCTAAACTTTGGAGAATAGCGTTCAGTATAAATTAGTTTAAGGACCATCAGCATGTACGCATCCTTGAAATAAAGATGATTTGAATAGGCACATTTTGAATAATAGAAGTTTAATTCTTCATTATATAATTATGTATTCATTGAATTTTTTCCATATCATTTTAAAGTTGAATGCTAATAACGGCTTACGGTTTTTCACATGACAGCCTTTCATCTCTATTCTAAATGGTTTGTGTTTATGTACCTTAATCTCACCTACCCATTCCATAATTTTAGTTCTCCTTCATACCCTCCTTACGGCCAGTTCATAAGTTCCAGGATATAAAGCTAATGTACATCTTAAACTCTATTATTAAGAGAAAAATTGACGTACGATACTGGTTTTACCAAACGCAGCCATCCCCCGCATTCCTGCGTAACATAATAGCGTTTTAATTCGTACTGTACAGTATATAACTTAATTTAAGCCGCTGCGTAATCATTTGTATCAAAATGATCCTGCTTATGTTGTTATGTATCTTGATAATTCGCCCTCCTTTTGATGTCTATACACGTACTCACAACAAGTTAACATCTCGCAAGCAGTATTTACTGAATTTATACGCGTATGTTTAATTTACAACGTAAAAGTATAAAATGTAGAGTAATGAAAGGCAGAGAGGTATTAATGGACAAATGGGGGTGCTGTTAGTACCATGTACTCTCATTTAAGTGCAGTATCATATACAGACAGATATGTTATTACCATAGTAGCTCATAATACGCACAACGAGCTACATTAATGACAGAATGATATCATATAACATAAATCTTGCATCCGAAGCAACTGTAAGCATTTATTTTAATTGCTACATTGTACATGAAGACACAAATTGGCGATTTTATAAAACGCCATCAGAAGTTCCTCGAAGGTTTTTGACCAATGCATATTATCAACACATCTCTGGTAACATTTTGATAGTATTTCAGCGAATTATTATTTAATTATGTAATATATATGAGAGCTATAGCAATGGTAAAATTAGAAAATGTTCTCATAGCATAAATTTCCCTATCACAAAAGGGTATCAGGCACAGTAACAAATTAGGTATTATTTAACCAGAAATTCTTGGTTCTAGTGTAATGTCGCTAAGTGATTAAGAGGCGAATATCCAGAATCCAGGAATAAATCATCAAAGGGCAATATAAAAAAACGCTGTTGGGCAGTATGCAATCAATGCCATTTATCGCTAACTAAAGTATACGTGAAATTACGTACTGCAGCTTGTAGGTGTTTCCAATTATTCTACTTAATTACTGTCGTAACTTAAACACTATGTTGAGCACCAAGAGTCTATTAATCATCTAGCAGATGATGTACACCACAGCGAATTGCTGTTACTAGGCTTGTCAGTAGCTATACATCTACAAATCAACCTGAAAGTAACACATAGTGTGATAATGCTACGGTATATCTAATCTAACAATATATGAACAAATATACCAATAGAAATTGTAATGAATTATAATAACAAACGCATACTCGCAACAATACCTGAATTTGCATTCCAGACTGCATGACCCTCACAATCTTAACATTTCAGGTATAATTATAATTAATAATGATATGCACCCAGATCATTTCAAATGATCGACTAATACTGGTTGCATAATATGTCAAATAAATTAGATTATCGACTATTTTCAAAAATGATAGCAGAGGTTAAACCTTTATAGGCAAATATAACAATATCTCTATACAGTCAACAACTTCCATAAAGATGCTTCTCCATCTGCGCTAGATGATACGAAAGCATACTGTTCTGGATGCCATGAAACTTTTAGTGCTTTATCTGCGTGTTGACCGACGACAAATGATGGATAGCTATTTTCATAACCATTCATATCGGTAAGTATTAAAGTACCATCGTATGAAGCTGATAATAAATACCTAGAGTCTGGTGAAAACCTCAAAGATCTACAATCTTCATTATGAGGATGAAACGTATGCAAAATCTTATCTGCTTTTATATCGTATAAAACACAAACACCGTCTTCACGCCCCATGGCAGCTAAATTATTGCTATGGTTAACACATAAGGATGTTATTCCTTGTTTTACTGGAGAATCTGACAATTTAAAGGTTTTCGCACATTTTCCGCTATTGATATCCCACATGCATACAACGCCGTCAGTAGACCCGGAAATTAATTTTTGATAACCCCAGGAATATAAGGCCAAGACATGTGCGCTATGTCCTTTTAGGGACGTTAGTAATTGTTCACTTCCACAATCTATGATATTTATAGCACAATCGCCTCCTCCACCTGATATAAGAAAAGACGAATGATCTGTGTCGAATGTTACGTCGCGGACAGTTCCATCGTGGAAGTTAAAATCTTGGACTGATCCAGCTGGGATAAAGTCATTATTATCAAATCGCAATAATTTAACAGATTTATCGTTAGAACCCGTTGCAAGCAATTCACCAGACCGATTCCAGTTAGCGCAATAAATAGAGCCACGATGGTGTCTCTCTCTAAAAAAAAATACTCTAGGTTCTGGTGGAGGGACGTTAGGATCAAATCTGCATTATTAAAGCAAATGAATGCAATTTAGACACACGTTCACATGATATGATAAATACGAAACATTTTCATATAAATCTCTATTCAACTTACTCGCCGTTTGCATGTAAAAGCTCCGCAGAACATATGCGCAGTACTCTCGAATTTGAACCAACAACAAAAGCTTCGCCGTTAGGGTGGAATGCAACCGTTCTGACAGCCTGTGATGCGTTCATAGTAGCAATATTTGCAAACAGTGGTCTTGTAATTTTCTGCCTAACAGGCTCCGACTTTAAAGTGTAATGCAACAAACGATAAAGATTAAAGACAGTCACTAAGATATGCCATGTAATTAAAAAAAAAATTCATATCATGTCTGCTAAACGGCTCATTACGTGTCATTACCTCAGTCCCTTCTACTTCCTCGTTGCGATCTATTATTTCATCATGGCCGTAATGTAATTCATTCATAGTATGGCTTTGATTGGTGATTTCACTTCCAATCAAAGCGTTATCTGTTTCCTCAGTGATGATAGAGGAACTCGATGGCACAATGTGAGGAGCATCATTATGAGGACCATCACTGTTCGCGCTGCTAACGGTGGTTGCTACTTCTTGTAAAGGTTGTTCACCTAAGTTCTCTCTTGGCAAATTTTCTGCTTTATCTATGAGAAACGGCAGGCTTTCCTTTCTGCTATCAATTATGTAGGATTAAAAACAAGATATAATACGAAAAAGTATTACTACATTGATAACTTACTGATTGCAATTGAAGTATGAAGTTAAAGATACAATAACAATTAAGGCAGACTATCAAGAGAATAACTGAAAACGTAAAAGCTATTCGAAATGGACTATTAATTATTTCTAGGAAGTGCACACAAAGAGACCTGTTCAGTAAGTAAAGCACCCAATACATGTGTTATAGACATTTATAACTGTACTTCTTAGTTTATCATCATCCTCTAATCTGCAAGTACACTTACGTAGACGCTTTAGACTGCAAGTGCATTCCGGATAACACTTTGTAATTGTAGAACCTTTCTAAGGAAGCTGATCTGTTCCTAAATTTGCGATTTGTAGATTCACTGCTGGTGAAATAATGTGAGTTTGTTGGAATTGAAATACTACGTCGCATCTTGCATGATTGGTTATTAAGTCTTTTGTCATAGCTATCAGTATCTAGCTCCTTGTAATGATTATCAATAGCTTCTTTCATAACAGTGGTTTGAATTTCCCCGAGCTTGAATGGCCATGCATTTGGTGGTATCTTTTTCATTACATCGTATATATAACAGTTACGATCTGCAAGCGGATTTAGTAAATCTAATTTTCGATTAGCAGAGTCCATCATCGCTTCTTTAGCAACTTCCATTTTTTTATTATAATTTGAGTAAATATCTTGTAAGCATCCTTTGCTTAATAAAGTAGTTAATCGATTAACATTTATTAACTTACTTCTTTCATATTCGTCTTGCACTCCTTTCTGGAGTTTAGTACTTGGAGATTGATTTAAATAAATTTCAACTAATGGTAAAATTTGATAAAAACACTCCACGCGACCACTGATAGGAGTCCACATCTTATAGTCTTCCAAATTTCGATGATCCTCTAGAGTTAATAACCAACATAGCCTATTAAACTGGTCTTTATCAGGAGAACATATTTTTAATTCTTCCAAACAGTTGTGTAATATATTTACTGAACGGCCGTTTTGCATTTTCCAATCACTTAACAGCTCTAGAAATTTTTGCTTTAAACATATAAACTTGAAGAGTTTGCAGTTAAACCCAGGTACTTCTTGCAAGGGTTCAATAAAGGCTATGGCCTCCATAAATTTACCATCTAAAATTAAACTTCTAAGGAAAGAGAGATTATAGGGATAATCATAATCATTGATACCACTCTCCTTTTCTAATGCCACCATGGCAGCATACAACTTCCATTCACGCAACTGGGACAGCATTAACCGAATAACCTGTCGACGATCTATAAACACATTCATGCAGTCCATTGCTATCTCCAAAATACAAAAACTGCTTTAGGCTGAAAATAATAACAATGAAGTAGCCAGTAAAATGTGTTTCAGTAAATAAAATTAAATAGATTTTAATTTAATTTTTACTGTAAATTAAATCGAGTGCAATCAAGGATAAATAAATTTACTGTACTGTACTGCACTGTACCGTAATTGACGGGACAACTACAGTACAGTACAGTACAGTACTGTAGGTCATGGAGGTAAAACCATACAGTACAGTACAGTACAGTACAGTTAAGAAAAAGATACTTAATACTCAGTAGTTCAAAAGTCATACAGTATAGTACCGTACTGTTGTAAGTGTACAGTAAGTAGAGACCATTTGTAAGTCTCATTCAACCTTTACTTTTAGCTCTTTTTAGTCCTAACTACTAAACAAGATTGCTCTATAAAACTGTGGACTACTAAAATCTTCCTTTAAAAACGTACGAAATAAGGTTCAATTTCTGACTTTCATGAGAAGAATTCTCTAAACAGAGCATCTTCACTCGCCTGATTTTTGCTATCAAGAACTTCATTTTGAAAGCATTCGCAGATCAAGAGTCCCTCACTACTAGTTTTAACAGCAGTAAGTTAGATACACAAGATCGAGCAAAGTGATGACGCTGAATTCTTCCTCGTCCTGGAGCACCTTTCTTAAATCACTTGATGGCGGGGTAGTGTACATGGACAATTTGGCCGTAGAATACTTCCATTGGTCCGGTCATGTGAAAGAGATCTTAATGCGGGGCAATGTCAGAGCTATCAAGGATTTAGACATGAATTCGGTCAGTATTTTGTATCGGTATTTAGTACTGTGGTACAGATGATCATGATAAATAAATAAATATAAATATTTCTGAATATATCATGGCATAATTTTATGAAGATATACACGTACAGTATATTTTATTAGGAAATATTTGGCATGAATAAGTGCCAAATGAGCATAAGTAATACTTATTAAGTATGACTAAAACTTCGTAGAATTTACTATATTCTCAGCACTTGATAATAATTGGGTTATAAGAAGTTTTTGCTATTTGATGTACTGTACTTCTAAACAGATTGATCCTCAAGCGAACAAGGCTATATTTTGCATTTGCGAAACTTTAACTGGTACAAACATGGATAAAGTTAGACAAATTGTTGAATCGCATAATTTCAATCGAATCCTAGTATATTGTTCTGTACCGGAGTATTTGTATAATGAGTCTGGTGAAGATGAAGGCATTTTTGCTTTCCTAGCTGAAGAATTAGAAAGGCGGATGGGCAAACCGGTATGTACAATAATTTCAATTGCGTTAGTGCTTATTAAATATACTCGCATATATATATATCGATATGTCTTGATTAAAATAATGGATATACTTTTACCGATAATTTTATACGCGTATGTATGTTAGGATATTTTCAGTATAAGCTGACGCAAATCTTAAAGTAGCTGAATATGTAGTAAGGTCTATGATGAAAACTTATGAAAGAGATTTTATTCTCTTAAATCTTATAGATGGCTATGGCTGAGATTATTTTCTTGCCAATGTTTCATACATACATCTTTTCCGACTTCTTTATAACACCTACATTCAGTACATTTTTCCCCTTGCTACCAACAGATGCGAAACGATTAAATGAATTCTATAATAGTCAGGTTAGTCTATTTTCCGAGTCTTATCCGTAAAGGACATCCGATATTACTCTACAATTAAGTATATCATCTTAGCTAAAATAGCGAGTACTGTAATTTTTACTAATTTCGACAATATCACCTGTAACAACCACTTTTAGGGAGATAAAAGGAATATCCAAAGTCTCTCTGATATTACTTTAACACTATTGCCTCCTCCATTACAGGAAAGAATCAAGGTAAATAGTAATCAGTCCATGATTTCTGTTTAATTCTCTACATTAGCATCTACTTTCCATAATTCTTCGCTACTACTCAAATTATGTTATAAAATGTAATGACGAAGGCACTGAATATTTTAGGTATTTGCTGCACTTTTGGATGGAATGTTTGATGAAATGTCTATAGCGGAAGATTGCTACTGTGTCGGAGCTACTAGTCGCTTTGTTGCTACTGAGCTTGCTAATTTACAAAGTCAAAGAAGCAAAAAAAAAGTAAATTACAGTTTCTTAAACCTTATTCTCCAGAAAAATTTCATTATGAAGATACAGATATATTAACAATATATAAATCGCACCTATAGATTGCAAAACAAAAAGCATCAATTATATTAGTTGATAGAACACTCGACGTTGCTACTAGCGTTAACCATACATGCGAGACGCTCGGTAATAAAATTTTTGGTCTTCTACCAACACTTCCTGGTCATCATAGTGACGTAGCAGTCGAAATGAGCTGCTTATGTGCTCATGATAGGTATTTCTTTGTTTCGTTTATCGCAACGTTAAAGTATTTCGTGAACTAATTTTTATTATATGACAGCTTTAATGCTGTACCTGGATGTTTAGCTCATGTAGATAGTCCAATTGGAAAAACGCTTTTGCAATCATTTTTAACAAAACGTAGTAAAGTTAGTCAATGCGTCTTTCTTACCATCAACATAGTAAGGTGCAATAACTGATATCTGATTCTTATACCGTAACTCAGGAGTCCATAATGGAAGTCTCTCGCGCATTAGTCAGCGCCATTAGTGATGAAAGATTACCATTAGAAATTTCACCAAAAGCTGGGCAAATTACATCGGAAAAGTTACTGAATCTTGTAAAACTATTTAAGTATGTATACCCTAATATGAGATCTATATTTATTGCTCCTACAGTGATAAAATTTTGATATCATTAATTGAATTATAAGATCTACAGTATTTACTTTACTATTAACTAAATCCATAGGGATAACTCAGTAGCATATTCTAAATATGCCGATTTGCTTCAATATGCAATTGCGGTTACAAATGCGACTTCAATAGAAAAAAATAAATCGTGGGAGAAATTACTTGGAATAGAAAAGGTATAACGATTGCGTATACTTATAATGAAAACAGAATTACATTAAATGTTGTACAGGTGTGAACGATATCTCCCGCTATGAATAACAGCCCCTTTTAATATTTTAAAGATGCTAGCTTTACGCCTGTCCGATACCTCAGATAGATCGGAAGCAATGTCTATTTTAAAAGATTTAGTTGAATTAAATGTGAAGAAGTTGAAGAGGTAAACATTAAAAAATCCTTTTAGAGCGTTTTGTTGCTGTATATGTAAGTGTTGTATACTGGTAGCTCACTATTAATTGGCGTCTTACTGCTCATTTAAGAGGCATATCGGTTGAGGATATCCTGCTATTAATTCTGTTCTCTTGCTCACTTGTCGGCGAAGAATTTTGTTTGAAATATTCCGAACTGGAGGTTTTCATACATATTGCACATATTCTTACCTGTTCATAGTTACTATAGTGCAACTAATGTGGATGCACATATCTTGACATAACATGATTGTTATACGTATAGTCTTTAGTTTTCAAAGTGGCTTTCGCAGACGAAAATCCCCATGAAAGTATACAATTATTTGGTAGGTTCTGCTGATACGTACTTATATAATCTTATGTGCTAAGGTCTATCATTTCTAACTTTTCTAACTGAAGAACAACGAAATATTTTGATACTTTTTAGGAGAAGATGTATCAATTGAAAGCTTTAAGAGTTATATGAAGACTTTTCACAATAATGTTCTAGGCCTAAGTGAAGCACGCAGCCAATTGAGGCAGTTTAGGTAGAAGAAGAGAAATTATATAATAAATAAATCTGCTCATTAAATATCTTAAACGAATTTGTTACTCAGCTCGCAATTTCAATGTATAGAGACCTTCTAAAAGTTGGTGGCCAACAGAACTTAAACTATCAGTCAATAAATAAGCAGGTAATATCCTCTAGTCTATTTTGTAACAGCGATGCAAAAGCCATAATTTGACTTTCATTATACTAGAAAATCACTTATATGCTTTTTCTAATATGTTCATATTAACAATTCATAATCCAGATATTAAATGCTATATTCGATCCAAAGAAGGTTGAATTGATCGATGTTGAAAATAAGTCATCCGGACTACGAGATTTTATCAAAAGTGGTTTTAGGTAGTATTGAATGATTACACTAATTCTTGAATGCGCTTATTGTTGATTAAACTATTTATAACTAATTACCAATTACTTAGTTTATTCATGAACGTAAGCAAGCCTAGGCCAAATGATCATCCCTTATTGTTCTTATTTGTCATTGGTGGAATAACATGTGATGAATTAAAAAGTCTTAATGAGCTGGTGACTTCTCAGTATCCGAATATAAAGGTCTGTCACCATGAGCTACCAAGATGAATAGTATCTTATATTGATCATACAGCAATCTAGAATTCTTTCTGTTTTTATCACTCTTTTTAGGTTATCATTGGTAGCACCAGATTATTGAAACCGGACGATATTTGCATTCAAATTTTAAAGGAAGATAATCTCTTTATATGATAAAATTAAATTTGTACATATTTTCAATTTATTATATTATTTTAATGGTTATAGTAACTGTATGTCTTTTAAAATTTAACAATATCAAGTTCTTAAATAAACACGTTATGTTACTTTGTACTGTATGTAAAGATTAAAAGTTTTATTCAGAAGATAGAGCAAACTATTAAACTATAATATCAACAGATATACTAAAAACGACTAGTATTCATAATCAAAGGATATAGTAGTTAGTTGATCATATCGAAGAATTAAGGGCACTGTTAGGTAAGATAGTATTTTTTAGAAGTCATTGCTGAAAAATTTATGAAAGTGGTATCACCTGAATAATACACCCTGTAAATAATTACGGTTATAATGTGTGATAAAGTGTCTTCTCAAAAATATAACAAGAACTACAATTTCTTGCAAGCTTCACTTTATTACATAAGATTATGTTCATCTCACTACTACCAAGGATTCAGTACATTCGTAAATATGATATAAGATGTTGGGAAATGTTTAAAATCCTGTTAATCGACAATTATAATCTCTACTAATTAAAAATTTCCTAAAAAGGTTGTTGCTTGCTATACAATAGCACTTCTGACTTTTTATTTCTATTCTCATATGTATGGGGCTTTGTTACTGAGTCACATTTATTTACAATCTTAATAGACTATCAAACGCCCTTTCTTTAGATTAAGCGATTGCTCTTAAGTCATTTCTATAGTAATCTATATAAAACCTTGTAAAATAGTGAAGAAAAAAAGATGGCGACATCATGATCTGGTACGGTAAAACTTAAACATACTATCACTTTGTAGGTATTTTATATAGTAAAGTAATAATGGATTCATACTAAAAGCTATAATGGACTCCGCTTTTAGTCCTTTACTACAATTTCATCTATTCAGGAATATAGATCGGTAGCCAGAATTAGAAACAAAGTGCACACTGTGCAGTGCACAATTGGTGCATCGCAATTGATGATTAAGCTAATTAACATTGTAATGATTTCAGCTAATAGTAGTGCAGTACTGTAGGGTGGCTAATACGATGAGACGGCGCACTTGTACTGTTTCTAGTATGAGACTGTATCACATTAGGGAATTACTCAATTTTGTTAATTCAAATTTTGGGTTACGTAAGTGAACCTACAGTAATTGCAGGAGACTATTACTCGGTCATTACAGTTATGTAGGTGAACCAACAGTAATAGCAGGAAAATATTACTCGGTCATTTCAAACATAACGAATAAAATTAAAAACATATATTACATATATATCGATTTAGCTTCTAGCATGGACAATAAAGACTGAAGACAGAGCTAAAACATCTACTGATAAAGAACTGAGTGATTGGAATTTGATTACTTGATCGAAAATAATTTCAGATTCTAATTTACCGGCATAGAAATGTGATGGATACAGCAAACTAGCAGAGCTAATTTGTTATTCAATTTTAGATTATTCCGTACATTATATTATGTAAGTGTGAAATTTTCTGAAATACCATAACTGTACCAATTCAATTACGCGTATACGAACGGAAGTATCTTAGTGCTATATCAAACTGTAGTAGCGTTGTGATATTCTAATAGATTATGTAGACCTAATATATATATTACACTATATGTCCGTATTAATGAATTACAGGAATTATAAGGATATAGACAAATAGGAAAGTACCATTTTAAATAGATACATAGCTGACGGCAAAGGAACCTTTTTGATGTATACGCGTATGATATATATATATACGTATAGTAGTTAATTATAGGTATTCGATAGATTTTGAAATTGTAATTAAGCTTAATTCTAGCAGAAGCTTAAGGTTTTAGTTGGGTTCATTTAACAACAATAACACTTCTCAGCTTAGATCTTCGCTAGTAATCTGATTGAGTGTAGTGATGAAATAAGGAGCCGTCTTTAGTCTACCTAATCACTTTGAGGATCAAGTCCAATAGACGGACCAAGTTTCTAGAATTCAATATGATTGACAGATATTGAGACTGCCGGTTCTGTCAAATACTTCAAGCAAGGCAGTCAACTTTACCTTTTACGTTAAACAAAATGAGTTTCCAATTTTAGTTCGTACACAGTTTTGATGTATGATTTAGTTTTCCATTGTGAAAACTAAAATGATATAAGTGATAATCGTACGTACGAGAATATAGTCAGTCATACATTAAAGGAGGTACGTCTACAATCTTTCTTGACATTTGGAAGTACCCGCAATACTGTATTATAACCGTGTAGAAATGTGTGGTCCATGCCAGTCATCAGTAAATTCTAATAGAAAATACCGTATGGAAATTTTCAGTCAAGGACTACTAGAAATTATGAAAAGGAATCTAGATTCCTTTTTCTAACAGTCCTTGATCCAACGTTGCGCTCGGACTCGAGAATTTTCCTTATTACCTCGTATACTGGTCATTGCGCAGACCGCGTTACAGTTCCCTGAATCTGCAGTAGCCCTAACTATTTTGCATAAATTACTTTATACACAAAATTGTTAGGGCTAATATGCAGCGCTAATACTATGCCTTATAAACGTAGAGATTTAACTACTGGACACTCAGTGGACAGTCCAATGGCGCGTACAGTACACCACAGTACATTATACTGTAGGGTACAGTATTCGGATTTTGTGTACTGTACGCTCACGGTGCAGTCCTCTCTTCATGGTGTCTACTGTACAGTGTACTGTTCGAGTTTACAGTCCACGATTGTATATTTAATGCACATGTGGGTGCTCAGGTTCAAGCAAATAGACCTAAAATTTAAAAATTTTTTATATTTCTATCACCAATACTTTGAGTACAGTACCGAATGTCAAGAGAGAAGGTTTTTCTCAACAGGCAATCTTTGCTGTCATAACAACGGCAGGTTCAGTTTAAAAACCTGAGAGCTGTAACTGTTTCGGATTGGGTTAAGGTTGGAAATGGAATTCGATTTTGATATTAGTCAGTCATTGCCAGACTTTATTACTAAAGTGGATAATACGCTCAATCCTTTTAATCGACAACTGGATGTTACCAGGTTAGTGACAAGAACTTTCGTCATTAACAGTCTAGTACTTCTTTGCAAGAGGTACGTTAATTGATTACAAGTTGAATGAATACGCTCTTACTATAAATTTACCGAAACAGTGTTGATTCACAATTCTGGTAGTAAATATTTTATAGTTCTATCAGCGTACGAGTATACTGGTATTGTAACAAGGAGATAGCAAAATGGCGATGAATTCATGCGGTATTGACCATTTTAATTATATTTTACCACATTATAGCAGGAAGCGTTTGCAACAGAATTTAATCGTCATTATCGATCGTATGGGAATGGCATCAGCGAAGGCAAGACTTCTCCGACGACTTACAGTATAGTAGATTAAAACATAACATCAATAAAGATCAGTAAAACTTTATTTTCATCAACTAATACATTAGTTTAGACAAATGCTTCATACACACGCGTATAATCATTTAAAATAAAACAGATGTATTAGTACCGTGAACGACGGATTGCAGCAGTTCAATAAGAGTTATAGTATTTACAGTAGACTAGCAATTCATATTTTAATAAGACTGATACAAATTTGTTCAGAGTAAAATCTGCTCTAAATTAACGTTGAAATTCACAAATTTATCACTCATTCTAGGCTCAGTCTCTGAAAGGAGCAATAACAACTGCAGCTAAGCTAGGAATATCTGATCATCGATTGTACATATTAAAGGAAACTGAAGTGAATAGGTTAACCAGCTATTATTGCGTGATTAAGGATTAAGATCCAATTGCTGCTTCAACATAATTGTTGGTATATCATTGGTTCATCCAATCAGTTTACCAATACTATTTCATTTTATAGAGGGCTAGGGAAGGTAGTTGGTATATTAAAAGTTGGAAAAAAGAAGTTATTTGTTGTGGTAAGCTCCATGATAGGCTTATGCGAGAAATAGGTCACACTGATAGTCCGTTAGCTGGAGAAATTACACGATCTAGTTTTTTTAATTACGAAATATTCGGTTTCGCAATCAATTTATACTGCTATCCCTAATGTAGGATTATACTGGAGCACAACACGAATGCCTCCCTTTATGCGTGCTCGATTTTTATGTTCATGAGTCACAACAACGGACTGGGAATGGAAAACTCCTTTTTGAATACATGCTTAAGGTAATCTATTTGCTAGGGTATCACTGCAAATAGCACACTACTACGAGGACCTTCTTATTTATTATATTTATTATGATATGCTTTCCCATGCCTTTTTTAGGCTGAAAATGTAACCCCATCACACCTTGCAATTGATAGACCATCGTTTAAATTCCTATCATTTTTACAAAAGCATTATGGTTTAAGAGATACATTACCAAAGGTATGTTATTCTGTTCGTTTCTCATCAACCTTTTCTTTTACCTTAATGATAAATGAAATGCGTCTCCTTTTTTATATTTAGCAAGTTAATAATTTTGTCGTTTTCGAAGATTTATTTAATTTAATTAGGAAAAAGAAATCAGGTACATTTAATATGGATAGCTGATAATATGAATTAATATTTCGATGGATTACTTGCTATTCACTATGATACCATAATTTACAGATAAAAAACGAGTTTTAACTGTTTTATTGATTGCAAAGGCGGAATTACGCAACATCAGCCTACTAGCTTGAAACCACCAATTCCTCCTACAGGGCGGCGATGTATGCACTTCCTAAATCTAACAATTTGGCAGACACGATAATATACGCGTATATCATAAAAATATATCAGCATTTAATTTACAATTTATCCAATAATATTTTAAGCATTATATATGTGCAATAGATTTTAATAGACAAGAACATACATGGCATCCTTCGACTTCTACAAACGCATTAAGTGGTACTTCTATTTAAACCATATTTCATAGTTGTTTATAAGTCATATTACCAATAGTTCATTTTATCTGATCAAAATTTAAGGTTTAGGAAACACTTCCTTATTTACTGAAAAACCTCCAAAGAATCAAATATCATTGAGGTTAAGACACTTGAATATATTATGACCAAAGGACTGTAAATGCGAGCGTATTTCTTATCTGATACTTTGTTCAGTGATTATGATTTAGAAACGTAGCGATCTTGTTGACGCTATGAAAGCAAAGATCTTTGTTTACGAGTCTGCTCATAGTTTTTTCTTCATTGATAGTATGGAAATGCATGGAAATATCCAATCCAATGCGCTAGCCATAAATTCTAGACCTGACCAAAACTCCGCAAATATAGGTCTATCAGCCCAAGCTAATATGTATAGTCGCTACGGTTCATCTTTGCCTAATATTTTCAACAAGTCTACTCAACGCAGAGATCATGGTAACCGTAACGATCGAATGAATTCAACACGATCTGCGCATTGCAAGATAAATTTTCAGAATTTTGAAAGAAAAGAGTAAGTATTAAAATGGTCATTCGTGATCATGTATGAATATGCTACATTGCTTGTATATCAAATACTGTACTAGTTATATCTGAATTTCCTCTTACAAATATAAAAGTTGAAGTCATTTTAGTGCTATAGTAAATCGATTACATACCAGAGAGATTTTAGAGTGTAAATTTAAATGAGATTACGTTTGCAGATAATTAAAATATATGACTTAATAGATTCGCGATAAGGATATAAAATGTTCATTATGTTCATTTTGCTTTAGAACCGATGTAAGTGGGACAAGAAACATTGGAAATCGCACCGCTCCTAGTAAATTAACTGGAACGGGTAATTATACTGTATCCTCAATATTGAATGAAAATTCTTATCTCAAGAATAATGATAGTTTTAAGAATCTATTCAACTATACTACTAATTATGATAATTTTAAGAGAAACAGATGAAGACAATATTAAGTATTATGCTAAAATACTCAAATTGTTCGAGTTCTGGTTGATGTCTCTTTTTGTAAATACGCTTAGTTTCAAAATTTTGCATGTCAATGCATGTCATGTTGACACTAACTCTATACCACTATATATGTCGATCTTTAAAACTTTTTAGATTGAATGAAGAACAAAGCCATAATTACTTTAAATAGAAATATTGTTATTAAGATTATGTTGATATACTGTATGACAAAGGATGCCACCGTCAGATTATTTTTGTAAAATTAAGATGGTATGCTATAGAAAATTACGTACTATTGAGCTAAATCTTGCTATTAATGGATTATTAATACGAACTTTTTGATTGAGTATAATATTTCTTATTTACGATTTATCTGACGAAATGTTATTCTTATAATAATTCAAACCACTGTATTTAGCTTGAATTTTATTGACGTTATTAGTATCGAACTGCAAAAAGGTCATTGACTGATACTGAGTAATTCCATAAAATCGGTCTATAAAAATCTACTGTGCATTTAAACCATTGTAAATTTTGCCAAATGAGAGTATACGTTTATATATATATATTTATCGATTACAATTATTATAGATACATGAAATAAAATTTTATGTAAATCTTTAAGTAACATGGATTAATTATGGTGTTGCATACTAAAAATTGTAGTTAAGTTTGTTGAGGTATATTGCTTAACATATTGCTGTATCTACTGCAGAATTCATCGTAAGGGCAAGACGGCATGTGATTTAGATGATTATGTAGAAGCAACTACGTGAGAATACAATATAGCACGTTAGAATACAATGCTAGGAATAGTATGTAATTGCAAATATAAAATCAATATTGCATGATGTCATAAAAGTTAATATATTGATGTACAGATTTTGGTATAAGCGAGGAGGATAGAGGCGATGCTAATATTGCCGAATAAATGGGGTTGATAGAGTGCAGATATTTTCAGGCTGATGGATAACTTCAGCGGTTTATTGATCATTTTGCCAGCTTAGATTTGAGAGAGTTGTCTCTACCTTAACGAAGATATTGCCTTACCTAAGTTTTACTGCTTCATGCAATGTTAAATTCTCGAGCATTAATAGCAAATATTTTGAATACTTAATAGCATTTGATTTTATTTCGTAAATGAAACAAGTGTTTATTTCTAGATGATTTATATTCATTTGTAGAAGTATATACATTTACTTCGTCCAAATTCTATATTATAATATTTCATATCGAAAGGATCGGTAATTGCATTAACTCGTTTAATAGCATTATCGACAAAAGAAGATTTCTATTTTAGCTCTAATGGAAATACCAGATGCAATATGCGATCCCAGTGTTACACTTACCCTGTCCCTCAGGTTCATTAATTTTTTAACATTTATTAAGCACGTTATTACAGCGTCGTAACCAGTGCTATTAAACTGCATTTTGCTATTCCTAAAGTGATTTCAGTTAATAATTTCGGGTAAAAGTAATATTTATTTCGTACATTAAAATGGTTGGTGTGCAGTTCTGAATAAAGTGGAAGCAGTAAAACAGGTGACAAACTACTGTCGTAAAGTACCTCTCATCTGGATTTTAATTTCTCTCTTTCTGTAATCTATCCAAGTCATCTAATCATGCTTTATACACCTATGCTGTTTAGATCAGCTTCAAATAAACATCTCCTGATACAGCAGGTATCTATCTTCATACAATTCGCACAAAGTCGGCTTAGTACCGTTTTTCTATATAAATCACTGAAACTCGCATAATAAATCATCCAACTCTAAGACAAAAATGTTACTTAACATCACTTCAATATAATAACCTATTAATCCTATTATAGCTAATAATTTTGCAGGCATTAACATAATCTATTGTCACTTCAATAGTAATGCATATTCTCATATAATTTCCATTACGACCTATCGATAGTGGTTCTCACATTTTAACATGTCTGATTTAACTAATTAGTTGACAAATTTATTGATCCCATCTTAAATGTGGACTGTCTACACTACTGTACACATAGTTAAGCCTTTGCCGTGGATGCTAAGTACTGTTACTGTAATTCCCATATAAACTAAATTATAACATAATTTGTATTATCAATTACCGGTACAGAGCGTAGCTATACCTTCAATGACACAATGTACAATCAACTATAGTTTCTAGGACATACTCTCCAAAAAACTCTGGCAATATAGGTATTCAAGTTAACCATTTCACGCTTGCTGGAAGGTACTCCACATCTTACAAATATGAGTGTTACTGTAGTACTACGATACCAATTTATTAGCTACATTCGTATCGAGAGAGCAAAATACTGTCAATACAAAGTGAGTTCCATTAGTGCAATTTAAATTTCGTAAAATGTACTTGTACATGAAAGTAATTTTTATGTAATGGATAAATTTTCAAAAATGCAGAAATGAAACCAAACACGATAAAATTCTTATGATATTACTTTTAATTATGCAATTAAGTCTTAGATAGCTTAATAAGTGGCATTATTAAATTTTGGGAAACTTCCTAGTGAGTATATGCCAAATCATCAGAAACTCAAATTCTGCACTAACTGCAGATTATACGGCAGATGACTAATCCTTTATGCAGAAAGTAAACTTAAATCAATAATTATGAGTCATCATTTAACAATGAAATGTAAGAGACATTAATTCTCACTAATATCATTAGTGATTTACAAATTTAGTTGATGTCATAGTATATTCGCAACATAAATAGACGATCATCCTTTTTAGTTGTTAGTGTAAACTGATTATAAAATGCAATTATTTAATGCTACTAAGCTATTTATAGATTCTTTCCGATCTTTTCAGGTTATATGGCTGCAAAGTGACTGACAATAAAACTTCTTACCGGTGTTGATTATAAATAGCGGATTAGTTTCTTGCCATGGTTGTTCAAGGCTAATAATTGTAAGATTTATTATCAACATTAATTACATCAACTTAACTTGTACAGTTAATACTGCAATGTGTAACGCGATGGAGTAAGCAAAACGTCTGTTTTGGTATGATTTGCACTTTATGAACTATAGATTTAATAAAATTCTATACATTTTTCCTGCAACATCTATGACTCAAGGCAAATGACATCAATTAATATTGCATTATTGTTACTGTTTGGACTATTTATTAAGATCATTCAGCAAGATAAGTTATTTCAGTGCAATTAATTGCATTTCATTCTATTTTAGATAAGTAATTAATAACTATAATCAAATTAATTAGCGTATTATTATAAAGAGCATATTGTTACGTGAACTTACTATATCGTCGTAGTAATAATTATACTGTATCCCAAGTAAACAATTCTTATTATGCTATATGACGTCAATAACTCAATAAAGTTGTTATTTATTATACTACGTACGACGCACCATAGGCTGTAGATGCATAAGTTTGGCAGCATAGTTTTTCTGTATAAATCGCATCATAAAATTGCCTTTTTTCAATATCGACATTTCGATCAATACGTGATTGCAAATGCCAGACGTAATCTTGAGGAATGAACACTGTCGAACATGAGTCATACAAAATTCAATGATGTGATTAAGATTGCCAAAAAATAAATATCTAGAAATTAGTAACTAGAAAGATTTCGTAAACAATTAATTGAGTTAATTAAACATTGGCTACGTGTAGTTAACATTTACTGCAAATTTAATTGTAAAAATAAAGTCACTAAACTATTTACATTTAACTCAGGTAACACAAACCATAACATTTTGCATAATCAGCTAGAACAGGCATTTAAAAAAATAACATGAGATTTATTCGATCCTGCTTATCCATTTGATAAATATAGAAACAGTACGGTAATGGTAGTAAGATAAATTTTTTGATACAGTGCTCT